TTCAACGCTTTCTGGTTTATCGCCAGAAATAGAGAATTTGTCTTAACTCACAAACCTCGATATGGCTTATTATGGACTTATAGAGAGCTTTCACCGAAAAAGAGGAAAATTACAGAGCATGGATTCTCTATTCATTCAAGGGTATGATCTTACTTAGTCACTAGCACGGAGCTTTTGTATCTAAAGAGCTTATAGTCAATGGATGTGCCAAAAAATAAGTTCGATATGATGGTGAGATTCTGCTAACATTTGGAAAGCTAAAGAATCTCTATTTTGAATCTTTTCAAGAATAATCTTCATGCCTTTTTTATGGTACATTGCCAACAAGAGATTTTAATTATATCGATTGTTGTACGGGGTACACGAATCTGGTTCAAATGGTTCGAGAGTATTTCTAAGGGAGAGAATCTATGAGAGAGAAAAGAGTGTCGAGATAGGCCTCCTCTAGATGACAAAGAGTCCTCATTTTATTCCCTTTTTTATCTAATAGACTTGATTTGATTAATCCTCATAAATAAAATAATTAGACCCGATCACGAGTTCAGTTATCCGCCCTGTCCGCAAAATAGAAAGCTTGAGCTTGACATTTTAAAGTACGAGCAAGGCTTGGATCTTATGAATGACGGCCGGAATATTTTAGGACTCTGCTCGGGTTTTATGCTCAAGCCCACGGGCTGGCCTAGCCCGAATGAACTTAAATATTTTTTATTAGTACAATTATAATAAAATCATAATAACATTCATGTTAATAATAATAAAAAGAACAATATTATTTTAAATTATTATGAACACATACACATACATACTTCTATGGAGAAAAAGCCAATTATTAATTCAACAAATACATCATTATTATTTTGTATTCTTTACTACATATCACACATTAATAATGAGATTCCAATAAATAATAATTTGTATTCGTACGTAGTAGCAATATCAAACAAAACAATTTATATATTAGTTATTATTTCATTGCTCATTATAGTTTTTTTAATCAAGTACTCCCTCCGTCCCACTATATTTGTCCACTTTCATTTTTGCACACCATCCAATACACTTTTTTTAATCCATTTTATCTTGTAATTTGTATATTAAAAAGTTATAGAAATTATATATTAATAATCTATATGTTAAGACAAATCAAACAAGATCACGCATAACTATATTTAGGTTTACACATTGTGAGAATTTGATGAGTCAAAGTGCTTAGATGAACAGTTCCAAAAGTCAAAAGTGGACGAATATAGCGGGACGGAGAGAGTATCTAATATAATAATCCATTTTTAATTATTTAGAAGTTTTTGTCATGCGGGCCGGCCCGGCCCGAAGCCCGTGGGTACCCGTGCGGGCCGGGATCGGGCTTCAATCGTTTGGCCCGATATATGGACCGTGCCGGGCTCGGGCCTAAAAATTATCATAATGTAACGTCTCAGTCGGCCCGAAATATAACCCCGCCCGCATTTTATCAGGTCTATAAATAATCGAACATTTTGGATCAATACCCCAAAGTCAGATAATATTTTCTATCAATGATAATCCCGAGGGGTGGATCTATGCCTTAGGTGTAGGGGGCAATGACCCCCAACTATTTTTTGGGTTTTAAGGTTTATTTTTAAATTTTTTACACTCATATATTATTTGATCCCGACTAAAATTGAAGGGACCCTAATTAAGTGTGTTTCAGTGCATATTATTAATTTATTATAAAATAATTTCAAAAATTCACATTCAAAAAATATTTGAATAAAATTTATATATTTTTTTTATTATTTTATTGCATTTTTTAAAAAATTTGGCACTCCCCTAAACCCTGACCTTTTGTGCCCCCAAACATTTGAAATCTTAGATCCGCCACATATAATATTTTAGATTCTAGAGAACTATTTTATTTTATTTTTTTTGTAAAAAAGTTATTCGACTTTATAAAAGTGAAATTTGAACGGAATAGGACTAAAACATAAGTCATTTCTCAATGTAGGACTTAAACTTTTTATTCCCTAAATAGGACTTAATAATGACTAGTGAGAAAAATAATGTTCAAGTGACGCTGGACATTTAGTTTAATAATAAATAATAAATAATGACATATGATCGTACATTGGGAAATAAAAACATATGGTCCTATATTGAGAAAGTCAATATGCTTTAGTTCTATTTAGATAAATTTTGCTTTATAAAAAGACAATTTTAGTGGTTGGGAAAAAACTGGGAAAAATTGGTAGACAATTCTAATCATGACAAAGATTTGGCAAAACCAAGATAGAAGTATGATACTGTTGTAAACTCGATACTTTATTCATCATATACGGGGGTATTTATACATACACAGGGAGGAGGTAAAGTCTAGGTAAACAAGGTAACCAGATATTCTAAATAATAAGAGTAATATATCTGCCATATTTAACACTCCCCCTCAGATATATCATCGTTCATTATACACTAACAACATTATGCTACGGGATAATGTTGGCTAGGTTCTTCAGGACCTATATTAACTGATACTGCAGGACCAGTTATGCTGCCTCATTAAAAACCTTACTAAGAAAACTCAGTGGGACAAAACTTAGTTAAGGGAAAAAGAGTACAACGTGTATAATGTTTTCCCTCAAAATACAAATAACTCCCCCTCAAACTAATTTGTCTCTTTTAAACTACGAAGTCCAATCTTCTTTATGAGTTGCTCAAAACTTTGTCTTGGCAGGGATTTGATGAATGAGTCCGCCAAATTTTGCTTGATTTAACTTGAAGAACATCGATCTCTCCTTTTTTGCAGATCAGATGTTGAGAAAACTTTGCCGAGATTTGCTTCGTTCTATCTCCCTTGATGTAGCCTTCCTTGATTTGAGCTATGCATGTTGCGTTGTCTTTATATATAATCATAGCATTGTTCTTGATTTCTTTCAAACTGCATACTCCTAGTATTAGATTGATCATCAATCTCTACCATGCTCGCTCTTGATCACTGTTGTATAATGCTATTAGTTCGGCTTGATTCCATGTTGTTCGTGCTTGGTCAGTCGACTTCCAAGAAAAAAGCATATCACCATAGGTGAACACATTACCTGTCTAATTTCACACTTAAATTTGGTACTTCAGGACCAAGTACTTCCTCGCCCTCTTCTGGGAGGTGATTAATATGTTTATGTATATATACATATGAGTGAACAACCATGGGTATGTTCAAAAGATGAGCTTTATCCATATTTCAATGTGTTAACATCTTCTGGACGTAGTTTAAATTATGAATAAATGTTCCGTCATATAGGTGTTTGAAATACAATCTGAAATATAATTTATGTCATGTTAGAATCTTCCTTCTCAAATTCTCTCTTCAAGAGTTTAACAGTTTTTTTTCTATCTCTTCAAGAGATGTAATGATATTTATACGTCGACGTAAACTGCTATAATAAAGAATATTGAGAGCGATCCTTGAATGACAACACATAGGTTCATTTCAAATCTATATCTTTCTTTTTCGAGATATTCACTGGGTTAATTGTACCACATATGACCAGATTACTTGAGACCATTCCACGATCTCTTCACACATATCTCGATGTATTAATTTTATTGCTTCTGGCATTTTGAATCCTTCTGGGATTATTATCACACGGATGTCAATTTCAAGTGTCCCTTATAATTATGTTATAACGACATCCATATCATTTATTTGAAGTCCTTTTGAGATTGCGAGACCAATTAAAATTCTAAAAGGATATTTCATCCACTATCGGAGAATACGTTTCCTCATAATCAACTCTTAGGATTTGGTAATACTCTTGCCTTACAAATAGTACTTCATATCGCACAATCCCATTCATTTTATTTTTGTTTATTACAGACACCCATTTATAACCTATTGGTTTGACGTCTATGAGTGTTCGGACTTCAGGTCTGAAAATATTTCATTTATCGAGTGACTTATATTCGACCTTCGGGGTCTTTTGCCATTTGGCAAATCATTTATGTACTATCTACATGTACTCTTCTTTGAGTTTTAGGCATGTAATCTCTTTTATTGATTACATCCATTGACATAGCATATGCAAGAATATCATTAACACGTGTTCCATTTTGGTTCCATATTGTACAATCTCGTAAATAATTAATAGAGATTTCATTTTCTTTCGGTACCGATGTTTCTTTAGGAAACTTATTCTTCTGGAATCATATTAGTCTCTTCCAGGACATTTACCTCTTCTGGGGTTTCATTTTCTTCTGGAATAGTATTAGTCTTCTTCTGGGACAATTACCTCTTCTGGGGTTTCACTCATAATAATGTATGTGGTTTTACTAATAGCATTTTTGCTATTTTCATTTTCGCGGGTTCTTATCCTTAAAACCGATTATTCTCCCACAATTTCTTTGTATAATAGTCACTTCTCGGACTTTCTTAAATTGAACAGTGCATAAGATGCTGGTATATGTAACTTTGTCACTCTACTCGTATGTGTGAATGCATCTCATAATTCATTTGCTCTACATTGCAAATCGGACTTCAAAATCGCACTGACCACTTCAGGAGTCAAAAATTTACGATGATGATGCATTCCATATCATTGTGAAGAAGAACTTCAGGTTCTCATATGTTGGAACTACAGGTTCTATACACTAATATCATTGTTTTTAATGGTTGAGAAAATGTCAAGAACTCAACTCTTAACAGGGCGTTTACAATTGACCCATAAAATTTATATAGTGCAACTTATTTGCAATATCTTATAAACCTCTTTCTTGAACTTCCGGTTCACATCTTCTTTAATTGAAGAATATATATAATCTAGCATATTTCATTGAATTTATCTTCCATTCAACTCCTTCAAAAAACCTTCCCTCAGTGTCTACCTACCATTGTGGTATCTTAATTATTTGTCTTAATTTAAGCCCATTAAGCATCCGCTCCAAATAATTACCACATAAATTAAATGAAGATTCAAAAACCAGTATAAAATGATTTGTTCTCATAATCAAAAGTATAGCCACCAAGTCGATGCACTTTGCATATTAACCAGAGCTGCAGGCTCTTTTGTGGCTAATGATGTTCAACATAACCTATAAATTGTGTCCATAATATAATATATGGACAAATATCATAAACTTCAGGTTACGAGTTAATTGTCAACAAATATGACAAATATAACGATGCATCATTTAAAACATTTAAATTGCCATCACGAATAGGTGATGGACCCAATCAATTCTACTTGAACAATTTCTTAATATGTATGAAATGAATCTCAAGTTTCATTAGTAATAATCTCATAATAATCTTTTAATGAGAACAAGACTATAGGATCTTCTGGTCCTAATAATATGAGAAACTTCTAGTCCTTCAAATAGTACTCACTTGAGTTTTTAATGATTTTTTTCTTCACATCACAAACTTAATCGTGATAGTTGAATTAGTTATGTTTAAAATAAAAATTGGTTCAGTAAACTTCTGGTTTACGTGAAAACAAATCTCGATCAAGTGTCGTGTAATATTCATTTCCACTGGTACCTTAAACATTTATAGAGACACCTTAAACAATAAGGATTTGTCTATACCCAACAGAATATTCGTCAATGCAGGACAATAAATATTCTCTCAAAATATTCAATATTTATGAGACTTTTATTACTTCTATTATGCAGCTCTTATTATGCAATGCTCTTCTGGAGCTATCTATAAGTTTTGTATAAAAAGAAAATTATATTTACACTAACTTCTTTAATCACAAGAGAAAAGAATCTCATTTGATTCACTTTGGGGACAAACTTTAACACTTTTGTAAAATATAGCTATAGTGCCAAAAAAAATTATAAAGTGAATGATCCAAAATTTTGCCTTTATCAAAAATTAGCTAGGGAATCACATAGCATGAGTTGTGTAAACTTGGCAAATATAGAGTATTAAAATCCACATTTTCGTTCCCTTAGCATCAAAAACAAAGATAATCCATAATTGCAAATTTTAATGCTTTTTTTTTGTTCAAAAATAAAATATGAATGAAGCTACCATTTTACAATGATGCATATCCAAATAAATTTAAATGCCATTTGTGCTTATGGTATCTTAATTTACACATACATGGATACTTCATTTGATACTTCGTTTGAAAATCCACTTTTATAGGTCATGAACATATAAAACAACAAAATATTGATCACAATTGTGATCAAAAAATAAATATGCATTTTTTTCACATGAGCACATATGTCAATTCTTGTGTACAATCACAGCTTTTTAAACGTCCAACAATCTCAAGTCAAGGTACACAATAATTAAAAAAAACATACTCTAGCCATTCAACCAAAATATATGGTCAACATTATTTATGCTTAGAGAGTATTAATTTTAAGCTATTAGGTTTTTTTTTGTTGAACGCAACATTGAGAAAAGCATGAGTTTTGAAGGCATAACATTCATATTTTTAAATGCAAATCAAAGTTTTTGTTTTCTTCGGAAAAACACAAGGTCTGTAATTTTTTTCAAAATGCAAAATTTGACAATAGATTATCATAATATGATTATCACATGCATTCACATATATAGTCACATAAACTAGAATACTCAATTTGGATATGCAATCTCAAAAATTTAATTTTGTAAAATGGTAAAAGTACCTGGACCATGTGAGGATTATAAAAGCAGAGCCCTGAGTTATCAATTCAGATATGCATCACCGGCTAAGAAATCATCAACGCCTCGACAGATACCCAAATATTTTTCTGGAGATTAAATTGAGAATAATGAAGCTCATAGCACGCAAGGTTAGGGCTAAGCAACAACGGCCGCCGCTTCTCCTTAGCACTCAATTGCCTCCTTGATTAAATCACCGAAGGTGTTTTCCGGCGAGAGCACCACTCTGATCGGCCCTAGACCGTTCTGAACATTTACAATAAGCAACAACTTAGTGAGCTTGTGCAGGCCCCAAATTCCGCCGCGGTTCGCCGCCGGAGCATCCACGATTCCCCCGCGGACGGCAAGGCCACGGGCTGTCAACAGGAACGTCATCGTCGCCGACGCGGCGGTCTGCTACGGTTTGATGGATGAGGCCATTTGAGGCCGCAATTGGAGCGATTTGCGCATTTTTAGGAAAAGTGGATTGAATGGATCTCGGGGCGAGTTCTTATTGGTACGGCTGCAAGGGCGAGAAGGTTCCGGGAAATTACCATGCTTTTCCCCTTCTTCTAGATCGATCTCAAGGGCAGGCCGTTTGGTTTGATGAAACAACGGCAAATTCCCAAATGCTTTGGCGGAGGATTGGTCTCCGGCGGAAGGAAAGGGAGGAGCGGCCAAAAGAATTGGGGTATAGAGACTCGTGCTGATAACATGTGATAACATGGTGTAAACTCGATACTTTATTCATCATATACGGGGTATATACCTTGTTTATCTAGACTTTACCTCCTCTCTGTGTATGTATTTATACATACAAATACATACACAGAGAGGAGGTAAAGTCTAGATAAACAAGGTAACCAGATATTCTAAATAATAAAAGTAATATATCTGCCATTTTTAACAGATACTCCCTATTAACAACTAAAGTTACAATTACGGGCTATTGCATAATTTCAACAAATATTTCATTACATATAGAGTATTAGGATTATAAAACACATCCTAGCTAGTAAAAAAAGGATGGAGACAAAATAAACAGCAAGACGCTAACAAACGAAAATCGAATATCAAAAGAATAAATTCAAGAACATAATTGATGAATCGAAATTCATCGGGCATGTATTTTTAATTACGAGATCACTTTTAAATATCCACAATTATCATTTGGAAAGATTATTTCTAAAGAAAGGGAGTACTATAGTGAAAGGATTATCAAATGAATAAGTATATAATATTGGAGCAATGCTAGGTTAACGAACAAAATGGTTACAAACTTTATTAATTTATTATTTATAGCTTAAATTCTCATTTTAAATTTGTTTTACACTACATTATTTTTTAATTAAAATTTACAAATAGTAAGTTTGCAAAATTTGTAAAAATTTTGTTTATGAATCTAGCATTTCTCAAAATATTGTTATATTGGTTAAATAATACTCCGTATAACATGTAAATTTGCAAAATATGTAGTACTTCCTCTGCAAATTTTCACTCTGATTTTGTAAGGGTTCCAATGTGAGAGGGATGCTTTCACCTTTCAATTTTACTCCCCCTACATTTCTTTCTTCTAGGTCATGTTTTCTTCACCTTATTTTTATTATTTATTCCTTTTTCTTATAAGAATGAGATCAGACTAAATCATGTCAAATCAAAGCTTATTTCAATCATATCAAAACATTCAGATCAAGTGAATAGAACATGTCGGAACTATTTATATTATACTCAATTTTTTATTTCAAATAATAGAGTAGGGAAATTGCAAATGAACAAACATTTATAGTGAAATTTGTACTAAATAAGACTAAAATATAAGTCATTTCTCAACGTAGGACTTAAGTTTTTTTATTTTCTAAATAGTAGTTAATAACGTCTAGTAAGAGGAATAATGTCCAGTGATGATAGACATTTACTTGAATAATGACTAATGGATAATGACCAATGGTCCTACATAGAGTAATAAAAACATGGGTTAAGGAGTAAAACATTGATTAAATCCCAAAATAAGAGTTGAAAGATAAAATCTCAAAATAGAAGTTGAAAGATAAAACTCTCAAAATAGGAGTTGAAAGATAAAACTCCCAAAATAGGAATACCCTCTTCTCCACTCAATTCTGTCATGCCACGCTCAATTGTGCCATGCCAATGCTGCTCAACTGTACAAAAGTTCCATCAATGGCAGCTCAATTGTGCCATGCCGCCGTCGGCAATGCCGGCACCCCAACCGCTACCACGCTCCTACCGCCGCTGATATCGCGCCTCTATCGCCACTGACGTAGTGCCTCTACCATCATCGATGTTGATGTCTCTTTAATCTCCGTCACTGCCGCCATGATCAGCCGCTTCAAACTGCACCATTTGAATATCAGCCGCCACTACTTCATTAGGCATTGATTTTGGTTTGGTTTTTTCTTTTTCATTTTTTGTATTTGGTTTTTTTCTCTTAATTTTTTTGTTTGATTGTTTTTCTAATAGTTGTGTTTAAATTTTGCTCCCAATTTTAATAAATTTTGGTGATAGTGATAAGAAGAAATGTGACATTGTATGGTGACAATTTTGATATTTCACTTTCTTTTTGACATTTTATGTTGACATGTTTGGCATTACGCAATAACATGTATGACATTATGCAATGACATGTTTGTCAGTATGCATTAACGTCTTTGAGAGTGTGGCTTTGGTTGCCTGAAAGTTTTTTCTTCTGACAGTTTCTTAAATTTGTGATGAGGACATATGAAAGGTCTTTTTAATGGTCAAAATCCTTTCACTAATCTTTGGTTTATGGTTTGATCCCTTAATTATGTTTTGTACCCCCAAAGAAAGCGTTTTAAATATTTGTTCATGAAGTTAGTGTTTTACGGAATTTTTTTCCATCTATATTCAGAAAATCATTATGAGTTTTATAATAAATAAAAAATCATTTGATAATTGGTATACATGTCTTCATTTTTTTAGTACATTAGAAAAAACTATATTCATCACATAAAAAAGTGAGAAATTAGCTTTTATAAGGATTGTTTTGTTCTTAAATCAGCATCTAAAGTAGTCATAGACGAGTCACTTTTGTTTAGTTTTCATTTTATTTTAAATTTTACTCCTACTTTGAGTATATAAATTTTGGACTCTTACTTTGGATATATGACTAATGATTTACTCCTATTTGGGGAATTTCTTTAAAAACATATGATCACGTATTTAGTTCTGTTTAGTTAAATACCCCTATTTTATATACCACCTTTAAATCCGTCAAAAATTCACGGGTTTAAATCAAGTTCGGGTCAAAATCCGGGTCATTGAGACTGAACAAAGAATGGATAGACCACGATAGGAGGCGGTATAGTGGAATTCCGACCGTGCCTTTAATGCTCGGCCTGCCGTTCCTTCTCCGGAAGCTCGTTCGGAGATACGTCGACGTTTAACAATTCATCTCCATCTCGAAGAAGAACCCTAAACCTAACTCGGCTCAACCCTACTCTTCTTTAATCTCGCAGATCGCCAATGGACCTCCTCGCCAACTATGCCTCTTCAGAAGAAGAAGAAGAAGAAGAAGAAGAGAAGCAAGAATCGCCTCAAAAGCAAAAGCACCGGCCCGCAAACTTCAATTACTCTAAGAATTCATGCGAAATCCCTAGCAGATCGGCAGAAAGTCATGGCGCAGACAACGATTTGAAATCTGTTGATAACCACTCGTCGGCGTTTTCTCTCCCTCCGCCCAAATTCTCAGCATCTCTGATCTCTTCTCTTCCACCTCCCAAGTCGTCTAGATCGGATCCATTTAACCTTCCCACCCCCTTGGCTCCGTCGGAGCCGAACCTGAAAAGGGTTGTTCAATTCAAGCCTCCATCTATTCCATCCGGAGTGAAGGATGACAGTGACGATGATGATGATGAGGATGAAGATGAGAAAGAAAAACGAAAGAAATTGTCCGAATCGGCTATGCAGAATCTGTCTGTTAGGAGTTTCTTGTCAAGCTTGCCTGCGCCAAAGAGCTCCAGTGCATTGGGCGCTACGCCCCTTGCTTTAGGCGCTGGCAGAAAGTCTGTTCTTGACACAGATTTGCCTACTTCTGATACTGACTGTATGAGTTTGGGAGCTGAAGTGGGTGTTTATCCAAATGCTGGATACTATGAAGGCCAGTCTATTCCGGGATCAACTGTGAGCTCTTCTGGAGCTGTTGATGGTGGATTTCAATCTGAAGCTGCGAGTGTTGCTGGCGAAGAAGGTGGATATTCACAATGGGTTACGCAGGGTGAGGATTATACTGCTAGCTACCATAGCTATCCCGGATATGGCAATGGTTACAGCGAACATTCCAACTGGGTTGGAGGGGATGTAGAACAATACCCAAACTATGCTTCTAGTTCATATGCACAAGGACTTCCAGAATCAGCCGAGAGTGCATTAAGGGTCACAGGTAAAAGAAGAAAGAATGACACTCCACCTGAAATAGTTGAGGTTAACCAGGATGAGTTGATGAAGGATCGGCCAAGGGAAGACCAGTCCAGACTCACTGGTATTGCTTTTGGACCCGCATACAAGGTAAAGTCTTTCTTGAGAAAATATACTTCTTGGGTTTTTCTGATGCTTAGAGCCGATTATGTTTTTGCTATATGATTATATAGTGGACATTGTCATATGAAGTATATTCAAGAACAAATGTGTGGATGTTATTCGAGATTGCCTGGCTGTTTTAACATGTATTCATTAAAATAGAAAATCTATAGGTTTTGCTTCTCATTACAGAACAGAACTAATGCATCCTGATGCAGCTATTCGGGGTTTCTTTTTACAGAGTAGCTCTTTATTCTTGGAAATGTTGTCATGCTTAGTGAACCCCCATTGTACATGTTTTGTGTAGCCTGCTTCGACGAAGGGGAAGCCTTCAAAACTGCTCAAGAGAAAGCATCAAATTGGTTCCTTGTATTTTGATATGAGACAAAAGGAGGCAGAACTTGCAGAGCGGCGTTCTAGGGGGATGCTCACCAAAGCTCAAACACAGGGGAAGTATGGATGGTGAGACTGTTTGAGTTTTTTTCATCCTGTGAGTGACATTGGAAACATTTCCTCTCTTTTTTCTTTTGTGGAAATATATTTTCACCTATGTTGAAGTCTTCATTTCTTGCTGATGGCGAAATTCATCTATTTTTTCTTGTTTATACTATCATCTTTCAATTTCTACTTGATCTTCTTATTGGATTATGGGATGCTAGTAGCTTGCCAGTGTTTGTATTGAGGGCTAGAGCTCTAAATGTTTGTGTTTCTCTATTAAACGGATCGTCCTAACAGCTACAAAATGAAGTGTCACTTCGGCAATAGCTCCAGCGTTTTGAAAAATTTAATCTCTCGTCAACGTTTAGTTTCATCAATTTCAGATGCATCATTAAAAAATTGTCTAAAATGTTAATACTAATTGAAAACGACTTTCTACCCAAAAAAAATTCATGCCTCATATTTACCTTTTGAGGCAAGATATAAAGCATAAATGTAATACAACAGGAAAGTAAAACCTTAATTATTCACCCAAAAAATTCGATGCCTGATATTTGGGACTTTATATAGGAGGGGTAATCTTAGACCAATTCTATTGGGGTAAGATTGTTAGGTAAAAGAGTAAGAAGAAAGCATGCCTGTTAATCAAATATTTTCTTATTCTAAAATATAAAAAATAAAGAAAAATAAAATCATCGGTTATTCGGTCGGTTTGGTTTTTTCTTATAAAAACCAAAAACCGACCAAAAAACCAAAAAACCGAAAATGCTTTTTACATGAAAACCGAAACCGAGCTTTCGGTTATTTCGGTTTCACGGTCGGTCCGGTTAATTTGCTCATCCCTAAAGATTGTTACACCAATTCAATTAGAGCACCTATAGTCTTCCAATCACAAAATTGATTGTTCTTATCCCTTGTAAACCTCATTGACCGCATAGTCCCCAACGCACAATCATACTGCCGCCAGTTTCATTATACCAAATTTTGGTCAAGAATTTATCCTGAAAGTTAACGAAATTTGGTGTAATGAAATTAGTGGGAGTATAGGGGCGCGTTGGAGACGAGGCGAGCTTGGGAGATTTACTGGGACAGTTTAGGAGATAGGAATAATCAATTTTATAATTGGGGCACTGTAGGTGCTCCAATTGAATTGGTGTAACAATTTCACACCAATAAAATAGTGTAAGATTACCCCTATATATAATAGAGCAACAGAAAAGTGAAACTTTTATTTTTTGTGCGCACAACATATTGTTATAAAAAAATTATGTACTAAAATAAGAGTTTTATATTTTTAAATAAAGTGCACTGTGGTAATATGACACTGTATATGGACATTCACAATATGTTTTGGTAATATATATGGTTATGATTGTCATTGCATATGTATTTTAACTCTTATTTGTAAATAAAATATGAAACTCTTATTTTTGTTTATTTTCCATATTTTACTCCAACTTTAATCTTTTTTATATCTTATGAGCTTGTTATTTTTAATCTATTCTTATTACTTACTCCGAACTTGTTATGTGTGCGATACATATTATTTATTCCTATTAGAACTCGATCAACCAGATCTTAGTAGCCTAGTTTAGCTCAGAAACTTTTTTTTTAAATATAATTACAATCAAATTAGATCAACCCCTAATAAAATCAAATCAGATCTAATTAAGTCAAAAGAAGAGAAGAAGCTCTAAACAAATGAAACTATGATGGAGAAGTTCGAACTCTTAAACACACCGTAAAAAATATGAAGGATAAATGCAATTAAATTCATTAGCTCATTTGAAACGTTTAAAAGTTAGATTATCAAACAACACAGGAACTATCAACATATGCCTAATAATTGTATTGCGATTTAATTCCACCGGTCTTAGCCCTTTGACACCAACTTGCCCTTCTTAGGCAAGGGTATGCTCTTTCAAGGGTGTTTTAGACAATCCACAATAATTATGGTTAATGAACAACTAATGTCCTAAAAAGATAGTGGAAAAATAATTCCATACCCACGAAAAAGTATAATATGATTAGGAAAGTAATATGACACCTAGGGGCTGTTTGGCAACTTTTGAATAGGTAAGTGCTGAACCAGTAAGAGGTCTGAACCATTAAGTGCTGAACCAGTAAGAGGTCTGAACCATTAAGAGCTAGTATACTGCTTAACTATTCAGAGGCAAATGTCTGATCAATTCAGATAAGAGGTCTTAACCATTCAGATTCTGTATAATACTTAACCATTCAGAGGCAAATGTCTGAACCATTCAGACATCTGAACCATTAAGAGGCTGAAACAAACAGTCTGAACCATTAAGTGCTGAACCATTCAAACATCTGAACCATTAAGAGGCTGAAACAAACAACCCCTTAAGTAAAATAAACACATGGAAGAGGTCCTTCCATTTAAATATCTCAAGCAGACTTTAGTTCACGTAAAACTATACCCCCAATAAACTATGGGTCACACCTTGAAACTCAGGTAATCTATAAAAGACAGTGTTATACACCAGACTGTATGGTACACATGAAGCTCAAATGAAGTCAGCTACAAGAACAAATAAAAGGCAGTGAGGGGCAAGATGGTCTTTTAAGCACAACACATACTCAGTAAGTCTTGGCCTTTGTCTCGTCTTGCAGCTGGACTGCAGAAACAATTCTCTTCCAGCAACGTACGACTATGATTGTGGGTATCCAGCACCAGAAGGAATTCGCAAAAACATAGTACCAGAAGTAGTAGTAGGGGCTTGCCGAAAAATTGTCACCCTCCAAGATGGATGTCAAGAAATAGACAGCAGTACCATACAGCTGGCCCAAAGAAATGGCCACCTGGAGTATATATCTGTAAGACTTCTTTGTAGCTATAGCATACCTGCCATACCCCCACAAAAGATCACATTCTCTCAGACAAGGGTTGGAAACGTATCTTTGTTCAATGGTTTAAAAGAAAGAATACGTAAAAGATGAGGTTACATGGGTCATTTAACTTATTTCAGCTATTTCGTTATAAAAATGTAACCTTACATGATCACAAACATAGAAATGGTTCAACATGATCCCAATGGCAAGGAGGTACTTACACGGCAAGAAGACATGCTGGTCCCTCTAGAACTGCTGTGATTCCTTCAACAGTAATGACAGTAGAATCACGCGCAGCATACCTAGAGTCACCCTTGCTGTACTCTTTCCCTGGCAAATTTCCAGTCATTTTTAAAAATTATGTTGATGAAACTTTAGTACCGCAATCAGTATGGCAGGAACTTACAAACTTCTGCAAAGAAAAATGGAGTCGTTTGCTTGTAGAAGTTAGGAGAGAAGACAAAGTAACCCTCAAGGATCATGTGTGTAAGGCCAGTGAAAGTCCACCAGCACATGAGCAACCTGTCTCCTTTTGATAGCTTTGGGAACCGCCCTATTAAAGGAAAAAGTGAAAAAATGACAATTGGCATTCCAGTCCAAGAGTCGATGAATCTAATCCTAACTTTTCAAATTTTATCAGTCCGTATCATTTTTTAGGATGTGGTTTATCCGAGGGAAATACAGTAGGGGTATCATAATATTCCTAGAACTATCTCATGCGATTATATATTGAACTTGGTGAAAAAACAGTAATTTCTGGACATATATGTTTCACTACTAGAGAGCATTGAAATCTATAATAGCCTTTGCCACGGGAACCAAAGAAGAGGACGTCAAGAGCAAACAAAAATGGTCATTCATAGGTGTTTTTTGGCTTTTCCATTGGGTTGTGCAGTTCAGTTCAAAGTGTGAAAGATTTTTGTAATTGCAGAAATTAGAAAACTACCACACTATACATGTTGTAGTAAAGATAAAACTACCCATGCAATACAATTTAGCATGAAACTATGCAAAGTGGTCAAAGAATTACCAGAGAAGTTCCACATGAATGCAACAACCAGTAGAGAAGCAACTCCATATACACTAAGGATGTCCAATTGTGACAAGAAACAAGGCACAAAACCAGGCAACTTTAGATCTTTGGGAATGTAGGGGTGATCTACCTGCAGTTCCATCTAATATGTGCTTTGATGTCTGCAATCACTAGTGATACAATCCAGATTGTCCAAAACGAACAAACAAAAAACCATCATCAGATATAAGTTTTTATTTTCTCACAAAAATGAAGGAACTTTATGAGCTATCCACAGCATAAACAGAGCTATCTGATATTCTGATAACTGTGGATGCGTTAATGCTGTCAAAATTGAAATCAATCTCATCAACATTATTATGTGCCACCATTATTGTTTAATTATGTGAATTCGAATCATTAGATTTTATAATATGCAACCGTGTTTTTTTCAGATTGAACAATTATTCACAACCCTTAGATCTCAAATCCAATGAATGATATGAATTCTCATTCCTTTCATCGGTTCTAAACACAAATATATAAAATCACACATTTGAAAAAAAAAATTACCAAGGTAAATACTAGTCTGAAATATGAAAAGAATAGTTTGGATTGGTGTTCTATACTTCTATATGTATCTTCGATAATCATAGGGCTGAAAGATCTGTGGGGCAGTTGTTCAAAGTTGGAATTGCGACCATCTAAAGATCATTATTGATTAAAACTTCTGCCGATTCCATTTCATATCTGGATAACTGAAACCAGACAATTTTTGTTTGAAAATATTTGATACAGTTCAGAGTATGAGCACGGAAAAATACCTGAGATCGCATGTATATTGAATGACGGCGAATTGACTGCCAATTCAGGCCAAAGTAGAAGTGATTCTTGTAGAAATTGGGCGACTCCAATGGTACAAGTGTAGAATGTGCCTGTCACAGATTCTATGAGCGAGTCAAATCAAATACTCCATGCCTCCTAAAACTTTCTTTCCAGAGCACTATTTCAACTTCAAGTAAATTTATATTTATTTGTATTTTTTCATGACCTATATGATAAAATAAAATATTCTTGTCACCACTTATTTTGTTGAACTTTTGATGTAATTTTTAAATATGTATGTTTTATTTTTTATTTCTATACCAATATTTAAATAAAATAAATTGAAAAAAATTGGAATTTTTCTTTGTTTTGCGTAACGGGAAGAAAGATATAGGACGGAGGGAGTACTTGCAAAGGGTCGAGAAAGAAGGGATATGCACAAGGGCAAACTGGGCAATGCCAGGTAGATGCACCAACATGTTACCCCATTTGTACACCGGACTAACACATACACACACTAACATAAAATGTGTTAGCTGACATAAAATATTACACTGACATAAAATGTCAGTGTAGCACAGATATTTTGTATGTGTTCGTCTGTGTTAGCTTGATGTACAAACGGAGTACCCCATGTTGGTGTTTTGGTCTTGGAAAAAAAGATAGTTGTGCGGTGGGAGAACTAGTTCAATGATCTGTTTAATGAGGACATGTGAATCTCTCATGCTCCGATTGACTACACAAGGGAGAAAGCCCAAAACTTTAATTGTTATCGGAGAATTTGAGAAATTAATGTTAAGGATGACTGATAACAGATGAAGAATAGCAGAGCAGTGGGTGCAGGCAACGTGTGGAAAGGTTTGGGTGAAGAAGGCATTTATGGCTAATTAAGCTTTTCAACGAGATTCTAAAATCAAAGAAGATGTCTATCGTTTTGGTCCCTATTTACAAGAATACGGGAGATATTCAAAGTTCTGGAAATTACAAAGGGATCAAGCTCATGAGTCATACAATGAAGTAGGATTACACCAAAGGTCATCGTTAAGCTCATGTCTTTTTACACTAGTACCGTACGTTCTTATCAAGCATATCCAAGAACCCGTACCATGGTTGGTGCATGCTTTTTGTCAATGACATCATCCTTATGGCCGGTGAATCACGAAAATATTAGAATGGGAAGTTGGATTCGTGGAGACAGACTTTAGAGTTGCAAGACTTGCGTACAAGTAAAGAGATTTAAATATCTTGGGTGTACCATTCAAGACAATGGAGAAATGGAGGATGATGTTAACAATAGGATTCCAGTAGCTTGGTCAAAATGGCAAAGTGCTTCGAGCTTTACAAGAACCTTTAAAACTAAAGGGATTATTTTACTGTACAATAATTAGACCAGCTATGTTGTAGCTATGTTGTATAGAACAGAGTGATGGGCAGCAAACAATGTTCGAAATTGTGTATTGCGGTTTCAAGGCATTTTCTTTTCATGGCGTATTGCATAAGCCTCGAGGCGTATTGAGGCGTAAGCCTCAATTTTTAAATTGAAAAATATCCACAAAACAATTTAAAACTAAAGATAGAACATAAATAATCCAAAAATATTTAAAAAATATATTGTCAAAGTAATACATCGCAAACACAACAAAGTCTAACATGAAGTTAGACATAATATTGCTCAAAGTGATGAGCTTAAATTGAAGAATTGAAAAAAAGTTCATCAATGTCTAACGGCTTGAAATTAGGATCAAAAGATTAGCACAACAATTATCAAAAAAAGAATAAAAAAGAGATTAATAGCTAAAAAATGCATCACTATCCAACTACTTGACAAAAAAACACCAATGGTGTCCAAAATATTCCCACATGCTAAATTTTCCCACCATAGTGAGTGATCAAACATTAATTGCTAACCCGTTCAACAAATCCACATCAAGTTTCCACTACATCCACAATCAATATTAATGATGGATTATCAAATTTATGATATTAGAAATCAATATACCGAAAATCTAAAATCTTATTTTATACAAAACTAAAACAAAATTTAAATAGAAAAAGTTATACAAATAATCTCGTTCGAGCAATCGTCTTCAGCTTGGCCTAAAATAATTTTATTCTCTTCTTGCAACATGTGAAACTTAATTTGATAGAAAGTGTCATCTTGATACGAGTTGGTATCGTAAAAGAGAGGATCAGAGCTCCTCCGGGCTACCAAGAGTAAGTCTAGATGAAGAAGAACAAAGAAGTAGAGAGGGAGAGGGGAAGCACGCACATTGTGCGGCGGGGAAGGAAACTAGAGAGAGAGAGAATAGGGTTTAGGTTTAATCTTTTCTTATTATTATTGTAAATGGGTATATCTCTATTTATAGGTAGAGAGCCCAAACCTTAATGACTACGTTATCTATTCTGACGGTTCAAGGAAAAGCGACGAGGTAAAGAACCGTAAAGAAACCCTCGAAGGAGCTTATAATTCACTCGCCTAGGAAGATCTACGTTACAAGTATATGAAGTAATAAAATAGAATTAATGCATAAAAATTCGATTGCCAGTGCGGCTTGTTTCGAACCCGTTCACTGCGCCTTGCCTCCACCAAGCAACCCCCAAATAAAAAACTAAAATTTGAACCATAATGCACGAAATTACACATCCACTCACCTGGTTAGAATAGTTTTTCATATTGAAAGAAGCCAGGTCCCGTTTTGAAGATTAAAGCTTCAATTATTGGATCTTCCTTATGTGTCGTTCTTCATTACCTCTGCACATAGCTGCAATTGTTAGTGCTTAGGTTTTTTCTTTTTCCTTTTTTAGACCCACACATAAAGAGGGGTTGTACCCCCTCCCCCCAAGAGACAATGACTCTAGGTTTGATGCTGGTAGAACTTTAACGGGCCGACTATGCATATATTAAGGTCTCTATAGTGAACCACCAACCAAATAAAAATGGCTAGCCAATTACTCTACTGATCTTCATTAATGAGAACATGTACTGAATAAAGAAGAATGATGTTACAAAACTTAAGCCAAGCATGATTGCAACTGCCATAAACAGAGAGTAGTCAAGATAAAATGTGGCAGAGACTTGCCCATTCAGGCTCTGCAGATCAAACATGATGTAATTTATAGAAAATGAAAACACATATAAAGCGACAGAAGACATGGTGTAGATTGCTTTCCACCACCACATTTATTCCTCAACACAGATATCCATGTAAGGACAATAAAGTGATGTGCACAAACCACTACCGATATGAGGAGGACAATGAGAAGAAATCCAAAAACATTATAGAACGATGCAAACAAGATGCCAAAGAGTATAAAGAAAATCTCAATGAATAGAGTTCCAAAAGGAAGAGTTATAGCACCAAGAACAAGAAGGCAAGATATATTTTAAAGAGTTGGGACCTCTCGGTGTTTTAGACGGACTGCTTCATATCACACTCATTGATGCAACTCAGCATGTCTTCCAAGCATTCAAATGAGAGATTGTCCTGCTATGGTGACAATTCATCCATCTCTCTTACACATGGCCAAAGCAAACGATCTTAATTCAATATTTTCGAATCGAGAATCCCAAACAGTTCAGCTTGTACGCATGCGTGACCTAACTAAAATAAATGCAAAACCAACACAAAAATTGCCACAGACAATGTCACTCAAACATGCGACTCTAAGGCTTAAATTCCATAAACCAAACCAGAAGTTAACAAAAAAAATATATACAGAGTGTAAAATTGATAAGAGTTTTTTTTCGTCCAAAAAACACAAGAGATTTTTAGTGGAAGAGGAACAAGACATAGAAACCTTCTTCCTTGAATGGCTTATCTCTACCAAGAGGCTAAATGGCTAATTTTTTATCAAAGTGAAACTGTTAAGCAAACACTCAATTAAAATTACTTAGAACTAAGTGAAATTGTTCCAAGACAAAAAATCAATCAAAACTTTGGGATAAAAAACAATAAAATAGCGAACCCTACTCTAATTTCCTTATTATTAAGATTGAGTGTGGTGGCTTGGACTCCAAATAGACAAAGTAACGTCGTAAGGGTATTTTAAGAGTAAGAAACGGGCGTACAACAAATAAAGCGATGCGTATCATTTTGTTTAATGAAAAAACTATATTATATTTGAGGGTACCTAACCATGGTAGCCATTTATAAGATATGTAATATATATATATATAATGGGATTTTGGTTCTGGTGAGAATGCGATCTTATGAAAAAAATAAGAATGAATCCGGTGCTTTAGATTGTGAGATCTAAGGGTCAGGATTGCATCATGTCGAAATGCATCAAAAACCTTTAAAAATGCACTATCTCAAAATCTGAGCGCAAGATGCAACCTGAGCCGCATGATGCATCGGATCCAAAGACTAAATTTTATTCTTATTTCTTTCACCAAGGTGCATTCTCACCTAAACCGACCCCTATATTATGGTACACAAAATATTACCTTTTTATGTTAAAAATAAGGAATATTATTTTAACTATAATATTTCCTCTTTTTCATTATATGCATAATAATGAGATGCATTTATATATTACCGTAAATGCATAGTTACCATATATAATTCAAAGTCAAAGGGAAGGAAAATGAGCTTAATAATCTCCCAACTTTTAAATAAGGTATTGATTATAGTGGAGTAACCTTTTTTCTTCTGTGCAATTCATAAGTTCTTCGCCAACTCTCATCCTTGACTAGGACGGTAAATAATCCGGGTTAGAATTGTAAACTGGATCGGACCACACTGGTATAACCGATTTCGAGTTAGACCTGTTTCTAGTAAGTCCAGGCTTAAGGCCCCGTTCCGTTCAACGTATTTTTTCTTATTCTTATTAAGATCAGATCAAACTAGATCAGATCAGACCAGATCCAATCAAATCAGATTAGATCAGATCAGACCCAATCAGATCAGACTAGATCAGATCAAATCAGATCTCATCAAGAATTTTTATTATTGTTGTTGTTATTATAATTATTATTATCATTATCATTATTGTCGTTGTTGTTGTTGTTATTATTATTATTATTATTATTATTATTATTATTATTATTATTATTATTATTATTATTATTATTATTATTATTATTATTGTAACGCCCTGAAAACCGGCTTAGTAGTTAGCCGTTATTTTGATAAAAATGAATATATTATTTATTGACTTCAAAAGATGAATTATTTGTAAAGTTGACCATTTTAATTAAAAATTAGGTTTTCGAGTAGATCTCATAAAATAGTGACCAACGGTATATATTTTGTTAAGTTTGAACTTTTATGTAAAATGTGATGATTAAATTGATGTTAGTCATGTTACACTCCGATCAATAAATATAAAGAACTTTCATAATATAATATTATAATAAAATTAAAAAACGGAAATAGTAATCCTAATCCTACCCAACTTAGCTTAGGCCCAAACCACCCTACCCATTGAATTGCGCACATACCATTCCAGTGTATAAATATTAAGGAGTAAATAAGAAGAACGCGCCTGTTTCTCTTCGTCCGTAACGCCTGCCTTCTCTTCTCTTCGCGGGAGCTCGCCGGAAATCTTTGCCGGAGTTCTGCAAGGGCTTAATTCGTAAATCGAGGTGAGTGATTTATCTCTCGTTAAAATTGATTCATAGATTAGGATTTGTTAATATATTTTTGTGCAATTGAGGATGGATTTGTGAATTGAATTGTTGAATTAATTGAGGGATTGAACTTGGATTTTGGATTGGAATGCTACTGCCTTGTTCCACCTTCTTTGATCTGTTCTGTTCTCCTGCTCTGTTCTGCTCTATCCGATCTCTCTCTGCTTCTTTGATCTACCGCAATTGGGGGAGTCGCTGGTGACGGCTCGCAACTGTCGTCGAGGAACCCGGGTCTTTCACCGCTGTTGTATGGCTCGTCGGCCTGCTGTTCTACCTCGCTGAGAAACCGTGAAGATGGCCGCCGCCAGTTTGCACTGGTTGCAGGGTTCTAATTGAGCATACCCACTACCCAATTCGAGAAAACCCAAGTTTAGCTTTACCAATTCTGGATACACGATTATATTTTTAAGTAAGCAGGAGGTTCTAATTACTCTGTAGTCTGAACTCATAAGGATTAGGATTTAAGATTTAGGCCGGGTGGGGCGAGCTTCGCATAACTCACGGGTCTTGGGTTAAAAACGTACGTACGGGAGTCATTAGCCTACCTAGGGATTCCTTTGTAGGGGCTCCAACCCGCCCATTGAGGATTCTCTTTGGGTTTCATCAAGCGTGGCCTCGGGGGATCTGTCCGAGTGTCCATGGCTTAGTTAATCAAAAGGAACCTTAGCCTATAGGGTTAAGTGTAGATGTACAACAGGAACTGAATATAAATAAATAGTTGATCATGATATTTGATAATGATATTTGCTGATTCTTCTGATGTTGTATGATTATAGATTAATGGGTGCTAGTCTATGAGTTAGTTTTAGCGTTAGATACTTCCACTCTCCCTATTTTTTACAGGTAGGGATCAAGGGTTGGATGAGGAGCAGCCTGGAGGACAGTGAGACGTGACGTTGGTGGATGGCCTGAAGCTGCTTGTTTTAAATTAATTATATTTTGACAAATTTGTTTATTTAAATTACAAGGATGTTGAATGTTGTTTTTAAAGGCTTCCGCAACGTTTCAGTTATTTACTCCGATTAAACAATGAATTGTTTTTTCAATAACTATGAATGTTTACTTTATTTCTAAGTGTTTTTAAAATATTATGCATGTGAATACCAAATTATTAGCAACTCGATTCGCTAACTCGTTGGTTCGGGTTACGCGGGTCGGGGTGTTACATTTTGGTATTGGAGCATGTGGTTTTAAAAACGGTTCTCGGAAAAAAAAACAAAACGTGAATTTATTTTCAAAAAAAAATTGTTATTCAAAAAAAGAGAAGGAAAAAGGGCATCCACAGCTTCGCGACGTCACTGCTCCAGAAGGTAACTCTGAATCCTTTATGTGATTATGTGAAAATTGTTTTCTATATTCTTAGTTGATTTGTTTGTTAATTAACATGTGGTTTATCTATAAAAAAAGGAATTCATGTGTAAAAAAAACATAAGAGAAGATTGAAAGAATTCAACAATGTTGGTTATGAAAAAAAGGGTAAAGTGAACCTAGGAAGTAAATTGTAAAAAAAACCTCAATTCACAATTATCCATGATGACTAGTGCGATCATGTTACAAAGATACTGCGTCACATGCTCACCAAGCACGTAGGCGACTCTATTGTTCTTAGACCTGTAATCTAGTCCTAACTCGAAATTTTACCGGGTTAGAGCGGTAAACCTGATTTAGCCCATTTTATATTTCTACCCATCTAGCCCAATCCATTTAATATTCTTAGCCCAAATTTCCAAAATGCCCAAATCCCTCAATAGCCAAAAACAAATTAGGAGAAATCTCACAAGTCACAGAACCCTATACGCAAATCCCAATCATCGATCGCAACTCTCTCACTCTGTCGCAAATTCATCCCAGATTCGAGTATCCAGTTTCTACCGACGGGAGTGACAGAAGGAGCTAAAGATCTTCCGGCGACGGCGCGACGCAACTGACTCGGTCGACTGTACGACTCACAGGTCAGATTTGAACCTCTTCAGATTTTTGCTATTTTTTTTAAATTTTCTTTTCTATCTTTCAGCTTGGATGAATCTCTCAATCTTCTATAGATGTTGAATTACTTCATAGTTTATTGTATGTAAAATATCATATAATTAATGTAAGTGAAGTCTGGCTCTACATCAATTTTGCCAATTTTGTGTTAGACCTCTGCATATTTCAAAGCTTGCTATTGTTACTAAAAGTAGGAATATAATAGACTGGAGTCAGGTTCTTGAAGCTCCTTAGTCATTTTTACATAAATCACTTAAAGTTTTCAATAATTTTCAATTCTTGAAGCTCAAAAATTGCAGGCACGGGTTCTTTAACTCAATTATCTTCTAATGTACTACGTAAGTTTTTTATGAATAGTGTTCTTCGTATTATATGAATTTGAATTTGGTATTGAAATTTAATTTTTGTTTTTCTTGTAATTGTGTTTGAGACTTGATTTGTAACATGAAACTAATTAGAAAAACTAGGATCAATTTTTTTTATTTGTCCGGAAAAAACAGACCTGGACCTGTCCGCACCAGAATCTAATAAGTCCGGTTCTCGGTCCTGTACTCTGGGCGATTCCTGTTTTTCGGTTCCGGTCCGGTCCGTCCGGTTTTGGACCGGTGTACAACCGTATCTGTGACACCTGCTCTTCCAGTTCTCTCCTCTGCGAAAAAGGCAGAGGTCCGCCAAGTTTGATGAACACTATATAACCATTGCTCCTTAATTTCTTCAGTGAAAATCTCCTCTTGATTTATAGTTCTTTGTTCTTTTTGCAGTTTTACGACGATTCTAATTTTCAGCTGTTCATCGGAGGAGAATGAATGCTCCAGATCGTTACGAACGATTTGTCGTCCCAGAAGGCGTCAAGAAGTATGCTTTTTCTCCCTGTTTATGCAATTTATCTCTTTTTGTGTAGTTATGGAATTTGTATCTGATTTATATCACTAGGGTTTCATACGAGCGGGACACGAAGATCATCAATGCTGCCACTCTAACCGTCGAGAGGGAAGACCACACAATCGGCAACATTCTTCGCATGTAATTTGCATTGCAACTGTTTTTTGGGGCTCCTGGATAGCTTTTATAAACCCTAGGTTTTAATTTTGATTTGTGATTCAGTGGTGATGGTGTGTGTTTGCAGGCAGTTGCACAGGGACAGTAATGTTCTCTTTTCCGGTTACAAGTTGCCTCACCCTCTTCAGTATAAAATCATACTCAGGGCAAGTCATTCTCTTGATATGTGTTTCTTTATCACTGCTTCACTTTTTGTTTTCTTCTGCAATTTTTGTGGTTTATGTTTCATTCTGAAATTTTGGTATAAGTATGTTTTTCGTTATCTTGCTACCATTGCCCATAGAGCTATAGTCATTTTTTTGCTTTATTTATCCAATCATTTCCAGTCAAGATTCACCCTCTCCCTTAGTTGAACTATACTAAGCGACTACGTACCTTAGATGAACATAGTTCAACTCATTTGAAACGAACTGAGTTGGATTATGTTCAACGAATCTCTTCTTTGGTTTCAAATAAAGTAGATTTTGGGGCATCAGTGATTAGTACACCCAGGTGCTGTTAAGGTCAGGACTGTGGTTGCCCATCTCCTGGTTGGTTTGACCAGCTGGGTGAGTTTGGCTATTCTTTTCTATTTAGCATCAGATAATAATGGGCAAAATCAAAACTTTTCATTGAACTTCATTTGCTTTACCTACTATGAAGTTTAGGCCCTAATGCAGGCTTATAATTTGGGTAGTAAATGCAGCAATGCATTATCAAGTATTTAACGAAAACTGTCTGTTCTCAATGCTCTACCTGCAGATTCAAACAACAAGCCAGTCTTCCCCAATGCAGGCTTATAATCAGGCTATTAATGATCTTGACAAAGAGCTAGATCATTTGAAAAATCAATTTGAGGTATGATTATCTATTCTGCCATAGTGACATGTAAAATATGTTGCCACTGAATTAAAGTTTCCATAATATTGATCAGTCAGTTATTGTCCGGGGATAGAACATGATGCCTAGATATTGCTCTGCATTTATTTAAGGAGTCTACGATGTCATGCATCTAAGCACATATTGTGTAACAGATGATACTCCCTCCCTTGCAAATGAAGTATAGGGTTTGATTTCAAGGGGTATAATAAAAATGCGGAAAAGTAAAGAATATGTGGTTGCAATATGTGTAGAAGTGAGAGATATAATGACCCACAGATTTCATTCTTAACGGGAAATTAAGGTAGTCTAAACTATATTTTTGGACAACCGAAAAAACTGTAAACTTCATTTTAGGGTATGCACCCATAGATCTTCATTCATAGTGTTTTTTCCCCACAGATGAGTTTGAAATTATAAATAATCTTTCATTAAAACTTAAAACAAGTAAACCATGAAAATAAAATATGTATGTGATTTCCTTCATGCTGATCTACACTTCTACTTGTGCGTTCTTTTAATTTTCTCATATAGTTCCTTCAGTAGACTTATGTGGTGAAACTGGCAAGCTATGATTGAATAGTTTAAAGGATAGCTTGCCAATTCTTTGTAATTATTCCCAGAATGAGGGGGGTAGTTAAAGCTGAAAACGGACTTTGGTGCTGTTATCTTTTCTTGTTATGCTCACATTTTATGATCCATCTTTCCAATTGTATGTAGATTGAACTGGCGAAGCACGCGCAAGAGTATTGATCAACTTGAGTTTTTGTGGTAGCATATGAGGAGCTGGAGCTTAGATCAATTCAAATGGAATGAATGACTTAGTTGGTCATGATAATGTGGCACTTTTTCTCTAGGTGAACTTGTTGTGTTGTATTTGAACTAGCTAGCTAATTTGAAGTTACATACGGAGTACTAGTAATGGCTTAGGCTCCATTTATGCAGACCATGGCTTGAATTTAGATTTCAAGTGTTGTTTTTCCCTAATCAATTAGTAACAACTCTCTCCATCCGGATTTAATTTTTTTATTTGTCTTTTTTTTTGGTCAAAATTTGTAGATTTTTACCTCGATATGCAGAAGATATATATTGTATTTCGATATAAATGTAAAATCAATAGTTTTCTTTTGAAACATGGTTTTGAAAAATTGAAATTTCATGTTTCGTAAAATATATCTATGTATAAGTATCGATATTAATTGTTAAAGTGTTATATTGAATATTGTGAAAAGTCAAATGGAAAGATTAAGTGGATAGGAGAATACATTACATGATAGACTATTGCCAACTCCATTACATGATAAATAACTCATTCCGTCTCAATTTAAATTATTTATTTTGGTGTGTGATGTTTAATTAAAATTATTTTCAGTTTACTTTTTTTAAGAATTGGGATGGATTCAACAAATAAAAATTACTCCGTAAATTTTTAATACCTACATCAAAAGTTCTACTGTGTGAAATTAATAACTTATATAGAGTGGAGGAAGTACAAAATTAATATTGAACTATTAATTGTTCCCTCCCCTCTTGTAAAAAGATTACTCTTTACTCATATTTTTGTTCGTTTCAAAAAAATAATCTTACACTTACCTATTTCTTTTTGGGCAAGGTTCTTATTGTGTCATTTATTGCCATTGCTTCATTTTTGCCATGACGTCCACTAAAATCTACATTCATCAGTTATTCATACCAAATAATCTACATGTAATTATAATATTATTTACGAATAACATAGTGTTCATTCTTAAATAAAGTGTTGCTCATTCTCAAATCACATAGTGCTCGTTATCAAGTAAAGAGTAGTTCATTCCTTTCACATTTGAAAGATAGTCTAATTAATCGTACTAACACCACCACTATCATCTTTATAACATCTCAGTGTTGCAAATCAACCAGACATCTTCATCCAAGTTAGATTTCATGTAGTCGCCTTGTTCACTAACACGGTGCTTCCTCGATTCCGCCAGATCGAGAAGGTAGGGCAACCCAATTCAGGTCGGATCTCTGCTTCCTCCTCAAATCATGTGGCCTCTTTAGCTACTCCGTATTTCACAGCAAATTTTTGATCAAATCTCTACTCCCTAATTACGATTTTACGTTGGTTGTACGGGAAGAACCGTACAACCGGCTGTACGATATAATTTGTGTGATTCATGTTTAAAAAAGGGCAAAGTTTTACCCATATTAATACTCCGTACTATTTAAAAGCAATATATTAAAATTCAAACATAATAAATACTAACTTTTTATTGAAACCTAAAACTACATTAAATAACAATACAACTACAAAAAGTGATCTTTACCATTCATTGTCTTTTTAACGATATCACACGGTTGGAAAAAAAATCCTCAAATCTATCAATCCTCTCACCAAGTATTTTCATTCTTACAATAAAACATAACTTTTTTTTCTTGATTAGTTTTTTTTCCATAGCAACAAGAACTGAATTTTTTCTGAAATAACGAAAATAAAACTTTGGTGATGGGTTTTATGGAGCTTTTGTAGATGGTTAGCTATAACGGACATGTTCTGAGGCCACTCATCAATTTGAGTGGCCACAAAGATACTGTCCTAACTAAAACACCTACAGTGCTACGTTTGCGAAATTAAGAGTTCTTACTTCTCTAATCTCCAGATAAATATGTTAGAATTTTGCTTATAATGAGACAATTTTGGACATAAATTTAATGGGGTCTATTAAATTATTTTTCCAAAATAATTTTGGACATTTAATCTCTAAAGTGAGACGAGTATTTTAATATATTGTGCACCAAAAATGAGGCTCGATTGATTGAAAAATTAATTCATAAAATCGAACACTTTGAAAGAGTAAACTCATCTCACATCGGATTTGAGACCTTTCCTATTTCACCATTTATATGCTAGCATTGAATTACATGGTAAAACAATTTGAGAAGGAGAAAAAGAAGGATCCCCTGCGCACTATTGTCGTTCGTCTGGCTCAGCTCAGCACGCACACGCACACGTGTTACGAGACAAAATCTTCCTCGTTCCTGGTGTGGGAGACTAGCGATATTGCCTTAAGGAAAGCTTCTGCGTCACCGTTTTCCTAACAGTTTGCAGGTTTGTCTCCGTCCATCATTGTCCAGGCCAACACTTTGAAGTTCCACAATTTGTTCATCTTCCGCATCTCTGACATCATAGTTTATTTCTATTTTATTTCTTCCATTGTAAAATCCGAAAAGAATATAAATTCAAATTAATTCATTTTTCTTCTCACTATAATATTCAATAAAATACTCATACAATCTCAATCCTAACTCATTCTCTCGTCCGCGTCAATTGCATGATCCAAGTTTAGGTGACTTTGAGATTTAAAAAATTACTTTAAAAAAATAAAAATTTGCACTGTAATTCTGGGTGAGGGAAGATATTGAGTTCATGATTGGGTGTAGGCATGTCAAAGGGTCAAGTATAGACACGAAAAAGTCAAACTAGAGGAATATACTATGACAAGAGTAATACCATTTACCCATACCCATTATTTTTTAAAATAAAGAGTCAGGTGTAAGACAAGTAGTCCCAACTTGTTTAAAACTCATACCAATTACATAAATAGATAATATTAAATATTACAAAACCCTACCCCTTTCTATGATGGATGTGTGACTTCCAAATCTATTTGTTTTTATTTCATCACATTAGAGACTTGTACACGTTGAATTATGCAATAGTATGAAATAAATAATTTGAAATTAGTTGTAATGTTAAAAAGAATATTCATGCAACATGAATCTAAGATTTTCTATCCAAATTTCTTGTAAAAAAGAGTTATTTTTGTTACAATGCCTTATACGTCTTATTTTTATTTGAATTGATTTAAGATGTTTTTCATTTTTAGTGTTTTCAATAATTTTTTAAATTATAGAAAATTAAAAATGTCAACATTTATCACGAGTATATCCAATCCAATATCGAGACCTAATGAATCCAAATCCAAGATTAAACTTCAAGACCCATCCAGTAAATATATATAAATCAGGATCATTTTTTTTGAAAGAGTAAGATATAGAACACTATGGACCAGCCCATAAACTTGATCCATACAGAGAAAATTAATTCAACCCAGATCAATTCCACAACTTCAAATCAATTTCAATCAAATTGGAACAAGCTCATCCATAAAAAGTTCAAATCTTATTTAAAAAAATTAGACGAAAAAAACAGAGTCAGTACAAAAATGTAATCCAATCATGTGGCAAGAAGATGAAGAAAAGAGAATCTCCTTGGCGAGTTTATTGGTAAAGCTGGAGCTTTCAACTCCATTGCTATTGCAAACTAAGAAATTGCCTCAAAACACTGAGTTGTCTAGGGACAGAGTGAGTTTGCGTTTATTGAAATTCAAAAATCGAATTCAATTGATTGAAAACATTTTTCACAGAATGAGAAATCCAATGAATTGAAATCATTTACCAGGAAATAAAGGGCTTGAAAGATCACTGGAAACAGATTACAATCAAGCGAGTGATTCTGGATTTCATATCGCAAGTTTTGATTCTTTAATATTGTCCGGATCGGGATGTGATTTCGAAACCCGGACAAGAAGCTGACTTGCTTGAATACGTAAAGAAATTGCTTAAGGAGAAAAAATACGGGAAAAAAAAAAATCGGAATCCGGCGTCCGCCATTGACAAACAGAAAAGATTAATCTACGCCGATAAAAGACGGCGGCGGGTGGCCGGGGACTAGGGTTTAGTCCGTCGAGTGCTTGTTAGGTAGAGGAAGGCGATAGCATAAATAGGGAGCTGAAATGGGCTTAGGGTTGGTGCTCATGTGTATCCGGGCTGGACTCATGGTTCTTCATGCAGATCATTAGAACGTAAATCTGGACGGGTCGGACTGATTCGGGGTTCAGGCTTTGTACTTTCGGGTTTGACTTTTGAGTAGGTTTTAAAGTTTTAGGCCCCGTTTGGTACACGGAATTCAAATTATAGAATTGGAATTGAGGGCTTCAATTCCAATTCTGGTGTTTGGTAACACAAATATTATGTAGATTAGGAATTGATAGTGCAAAAAATGAATTGAAATTGGTGAATTCAATTGTATGGAATTGGATCCCATGAAATTCAAATTTCAATTCAATTCCAATTCCATCAATTCTGTATACCAAACGGACCCTTAGGGATTAGAATGCTATTATTTTTACCCGTATGAAGCACGAGGTTGAACAAAAATTTTATCAATTCTAAAATTTTTTGATGCAATATTTTTCCACAATAAAGAAATACTATAGAAAAAAGTGTCAAAGTAGAATAAACAATACTCCGTATTTAAGAATTGAAAACAAATTAAACAAATGACAATATTTGAGCTTAACTTTTATTAATAGTCATTGCAAAACATAAAACTATTGAGAATTTTCTTCTCTAAAACTTTGGGAGTAGTCCCGAATCAGATGATACCAAATTCATTTAGGGATGTAAACATTTTTCTCGACTTGATTTTCCAAAACCACAATAGCACAAATAACGTTCTTTCATAGTTCTTTTATGATTAATCTTATACCGTTAGACTATTGAGATACATGTAGCACAAGGCGTAATATATATGGATTTTGTGTATCCACGACTTAAACCATCAAATAAGGCAGTGCCCCGTTCAACTTATTTTCTTCCTTTTACTTATTTGTATTATAATCAGATTAGATCATATTAGAAAAAATTTTTAATTAGAGTAAATTCTATAATTGGTCCTTTAGAACATGGGGGTTTTCCTATTTAGTCCTTTATTATCAAATATTACCCCCGTAGTCCTTTTTTTAAGGGTACCTTTCTACAAATGGTCCTTTTTTTGATCTTCTGCCGTGTTGGTGTTAATTTGAGGGCTAAAAGTGTAATTTGACATCAACATTATGTCTAGTGACGTGTTCTGATATTGGTTAAGCGCATAACACAAAAATAATGATTATGATTGTGGGCTAGAATTCTGGTAAAAGATCACATTTGTAGACTATCATTGTCGTAAAAAGTGACTGTAATTCACAAACGACGCAAACGAAACAGCCTTTGGAATTGTGTATGACAAAAAAGATATATTATCATTATGAAATTATACTTTTAGCCCTCAAATTAACACCAACATGATAGAAGATCAAAAAAGGACTATTTATGGAAAGGTACCCATAAAAGAAGGGCCACTGGGATAATATTTGATAATAGAGGACTAAATAGGGAAACCCCCATGTTATAAAGGACCAATTATAGAATTTACTCTTTTAATTATAACTGCAATTAGATCACACCAGATCAGGTGAACGGAACGTAGCTTAAGAGAAGTACTAATCGGCAGAGTGTTTCGATACATGTAGGATTTTGGAAGAATAACTTTCTTGATTGTAATTACATCCCCAAGTGTGTATAAATACATGTACAATGGGTCAAGGGCCAATAACAATCGTCGTCGGATAACTTATAGAGAGATGAAGAAAACGACATGTGTGGATACACGATGTCTACGACATAAGCTAGGGTTAGGATGCGAGTATATATAATTTTGAAATGGATTGTGATCTGTTAGGATTGGGTTGAAAAAAACGGCCCAATCATTTTTTTGGGTTTTCAAATTCAATTAATTTATAAAATAAATCCATACTTTATTTAAAAAGACATGGATTCTCAACTTGGTTTTCCCGCCCATTTGGTGTTCCAATAAATATGGTAATTGTTCACTTAAAATGGTAATGATTCAATTAAAATGGTAAGTAATTTAAAGTAATAATAATTCTTTTGCACGGGTCATAGAGCATGAACAATGGTGAGGCAAAAATGGAATGTCACACGGTGACATGGAACATTTTAACCAATCAAAAATAGTCCAGTCATCGTGTGACAAGTGAATGGAGTGGCAAGTTCTACAATGGCAAGTCATTATTTTTTATCACTTTTTTACATTTTTTATGTTTTTTAAACATAAAAAAATATTTTTATTATTTATTTTATTAAAAAATTATTCAACATTCTTGTACATTTTTTTTTCATAAAAAATTTTAAAAAAATTTATTAAAAAAAAATAAAAAAAGAAGCATGGAGTGCCACACTCATGCCTCACAAACCAAGGCATTTTGGCCTTGCCATGCCATGATATGTGTGGAAGCTGCTGATGTGGCAGTGCATGGCATGCATCTTCCTTGCCATTGCACATGCTCTAATGTTACATGGTTTTGAGTCATTCCCATTTATGGAAAACTTTCCAAACGTGATTAATTTAAATTAGAAATAATTAAGAAGGTGAGCAATTTAAATTGGTAATTAATTATTAATCTACTGACCTTTATTATAAACTTACTTTTATTACTTTTATTAATCCCGTCCATTTGGTATTGCAAAGAAATGGTAATTGTTCACTTAAAATGATAATGAGTCAATTACAATAAATAATTAAATTAAATAATAACATTAAAATGGCCAGCCGCATTATGAGAAACAATTACAATGATAAGTAATTTAAAGTAATAATAATTCTTTTGCACGGGTCATTAATGTTACACGGTTTTGACTCATTCTCATTTATGGAAAACTTTCCAAACGTGATTAATTTAAATTGAAAATGATTAAAAAGGTGAGTAATTTTAATTGGTAATTAAGACCTTAATTCCTATTATAATATACGGAGTATTCAGAATCTCTTTTTTAATTTCTTGCATTATTAAAATGATTTTTTAATGTTTAAAACTTTTTTACAGTACATACGCACATAGTGAATGGAAGATGCTGTACCTCAAAATCCAGTTTGTTGCAATCAGATACGACTACAACTCTATCGCCTTTCAGCAACTTAACAAATGGTATATATCCTTTATATATAATATTTGAGAGTTGAGCTTTCAGAATTGCGACATTTGGCGTGATGACTAGAATGTTTTTTGACACCTAATCAGCCATGTCATCAAGAGAATTGAATCGAACTTTCCTTCGACTAATTTATGATATAATAAAAGAAATTATGTAACATAATAAAATTAGTGAAACATAAATATAGTATTGCATAAAATAAAAATTATTAATGGAAAAAAGAAAAGTTTCTTTTTTAACTAACAAAATTTTCAGTAAAATTTTTACCATAATATTTTGCTCGGGCTCCAATTAAGCTTAAAAATTAGTCAATTGAATAAAAAGGATATTAAATCATTTTTATAGAAAAATAAAAATAAATTAAAACAAATTAAAAATGAGAACCTTTAACATTTAGTAATAAAATTTTGATCTAATTATTATTATAATAACTTTATTTAATATAAAAAAAATATCATATTTCTTCAAAAATTATATTGACTACTGAACTTAATGCGAATAAAATTTTCTTTTCATTTACAACGTAACTTATAATGGTAGATAAGATACACACTTCACCAATATATTAATTTCAAATACATTTAATATAATATTTAAAAACTAGATCAAAATATTCATTGTCGAGTTTGACAATATTTTTTAGAAAGAAGAAAAAGTTGAACACAAGTAGATGATTAGTTAATTTAAAATATATTTTTTCAGTATAAATTTTAACTTAGTGCAGATTTTAAAAAGTAATTTTTTAAGGAAAAAAGTACAGTTTTAATAATAATTAGTTTATATTTAATATTATTCTCATACAATTAAAATAGCCAAATATATAAATATAATGAACATAAAAAAATTAGGAAAAATATGTAATTTTTTATCTTTTCCTAAATGTATAAAAATGAGATTCGGGTAATTCAGAACTGGCATGTGGCTTACTCATGAGCCTCTTTTTAACACCTAATATGTCACATAGATTTCTTAGTTTCAAAAAGAAGATATTTGTATTGCATTTCTACCGAAAGACAAAGTTTGTTCTGTATATTGGTGTTAAAGTATACAAAATTGACAAGAAAAGTCAATTGAGAAGATCAAATCCAAACACAAAGGGAGTATTGTTAAAGAAATTAGAACAATACATGAAGTTTTATGCAATTGAGTGAGAACTAAAATTCTTTTTTTAAAAAATCAACTTCTAAAATAATAAAATAATAGTATAAATTTTTAAAATCAACTTCTAAAATAATAGTTACATTTTTCACATAAAATTTTAAAAAATTATCACATAAAAACAATCACATATATTTTACATACCAAAATTTTTTCACTTGATATGAATTTAGTTTCAAAGAGCAAAACAAATATAGTTACAAGGGTTTTCACAAAGAAAAATTACAAAAACATTTAAAAATAATCAAGGTATTTCACTTTTGACTTCATTGAAGTCACAACAAGTCTTTTTAAAAAAACACAAAAAAATATTTGCATGGAATATATACAACAAAACAATATTTGCAAAAAAAAAAGGAATCACGTATTTTTCATACACGAATTCTATTAAAATTTTACATAGATGTAAAGTGGGGTATCGGAGACGAGGGAATCCCGTTCCTAACAAATCCTCATTTGAAATTTAGTAGCTTAAACATGAGTGGCTAATAGAAGGACACAAAACATTAAGATGCCCTAAATGTACAATTGGGATAAAATTATAATTATTATAACGGAGACCTAAATTAGCAAAAGGCTAATCCGAAAGGGTCATTTTGAAAAATTACTCTTCATTTAAATGTTGAAAATACAAAAATTTCCTCCATTGAACATTCATTTAAGAAACATATACGGAAGACACTGAGTGAATAAATCTCAACTATAAAGTACTCTATAGATAATTAATGCTTAAAAACACTGATTTTGGAAAATACATCATTCGAAGAGACTATTTCGAGATTACACAATGAAATTTATAATTTATAATTAGGTGACTAAAAGACTTAAGACTATATTTTTTTAAGGAATAATTATATGTGTCATGATTATGTACTTTATTTTTAGACAAATGGATATTATGTCTACTATGAGATTGACTCAATGCATATCTTACATAGAAGTTTTGTTTATGACAAGATGACTAATTGTGATATGAAATAAAAGTATTTCCATGCAATTTGACTATTTTAAAATATTGAATTTTTAAAATAAACAAATCAGAAAAAAGATTTAATAGGACTTTTATACTTTATCTTGGTAACTTGGTTTACTATTTTTAATTAAAATAATCTTATATTGTAACTTACAATTTACTCAGTACATACTTATATTGTGTTACAATGCAAAATGTTTATAAATAAAATTAAGAAATTTTGAATGAGAAAGAACTTACTTCCTACGTTTTGATTTACGCAACCGTACATGGAAACTTCATAAGATGATATTTTATGAGACGGCACAGATTTATGCAAAGAAGATTGTGACAAAGAAGATCAAGGTGTGGAGGGGAGCGTGAGAAAATTGGCGACAATGAAGATGTAGGATAATCAAAAAATTAGGAAAAATTATGTAGAAAATCCAAAGTGCAGTAGCTAATAAGTTCGAGACTTGGTAACAGGTTACAACCACATCAAAGAAAATACAATTTCCAATTTGTAACTATTTGTATTTTGATAGAACACTTTACGGAGTATATCTTGACCAGAATACTATTCCGACAAAATTATTAGAGCACTAAAATTTTAATGTTTTTTAAAATAAATGTGGGGGAGAAGAATAATTGATTCTTAATATTTTAAAATTAAAATTTTAATCATAGAGATTTACGATCACTAATTTAAGATTTTATTTTTTTAATAATGCAAGAATGAATAATAACTTTTTATAATCATTGTGGGGGGGGGGGGGGGGNTAATTACTACCTCCGTCCCTGAGTATTTGTCCAGTTTTGACTTTTCCGACTAATTGTTTTCAATATTTGACTTAGAATTAAATAAAATATATATTATATATTAAGTACATAAAAAATATTTTGAAAATGGATGATATAATAAATCTAATAAAACTAATTTTGTATCAATATCCAATATCGTTTTTATTTAATTTGATGTCAAAATTTACCAATTTTGACAAAAAAAGTCAAAAGTTGACAAATACACATGGACAGAGGAAGTATATAATTATAAGGTCGGTAATTTAGGTTTTTTTAAATTAATGTGAGAAAAAAATCATTGGATCACTAATACTTTTGTATTAATATATTTTCGAATTTATACAGCGATAAAAATTATAAATTTGTAAAAATACATCAAACATAGATCATTTATATTTGACCTTTAAATAATATGTCAAATTAAAATCAAGATCCACATTATAAAATCGAAAAAAATTCCGTCCGAACCCGTGCATGGCACGGGTAGAAATACTAGTTTTTAATTCAATTGGACTTTGTTTTTTGGTCTTTTTTATTATGTATTCAACGAAAATTCTTAAACTGTATTATTAACAGTGATTGTGTTAACACCGTTTGATTGCTTAGCTATGTGAATTCGTCTACTCATTTATTCAAGAATGATTAACAACTCAATCTCAGAGTTGTATTACACAAAGAACAGTTTGTAGAAGAAGAAAACGATCATTTCAAGTAGGTGTGTTACATATTTTTTTATAAGACTCCTTTTTATAGATCTAGACAATTTGTGTAAAGTAGCAAATTTTTATACATTTTTATTATAACAATGCACGGTGATTCTTCGTTACCACCTACTCCATTTTTAGACGTCTTCGTTGCACAAACTTGGGGGTAGATTCTAATTTGTGTAGTGAAGATTACCATCATAGTCAATCTCAAGTTGTTGGAGATTTGTATATGGACTTCATTGATGTGGTAGACTGTAACGATCTGCAAGGGCTCAAGTCATCTACAAAAAAAGAATTCTCAAGACGTAGAATATTCTGATATTGGTGATTGTATTTACAAATGTAAATACTGTAATGCCTTCTTTTGGTTTGAAAAGCGAGTAATAAGTCATTTTTCCAAAAAAAAAACTGAAATACTCTGTGATGTAAACACAAAAATATAAAACTAGCTTTAATCAAATAAGCACCCAGGCCTTTGAGAAAAATGCTCGCCGGAAGAAATCCCGAGAGTAAGCACTTTCAAACAAACATTAGATCATATAATTGTATTTTCTCTTTCACATCTCTTGGAGGGCGTATTATTAGAGATTCAACTCCAGGTAGAGGGCCTCCCACTTGCTACCACCTAACGGAATAGTTCCGAAATTCGCTGAACTATACATTTTTTATACACAAAATAAGGATTTTACGTGTGGCAATCTCACGAAGAATTATTTATATTTTGTTATATTTATGTATTTCTTTAGTTTTACTTCATCAAAGTGTCCACTATTTTTTACTATCTCCGTCCCTGAGTATTTGTCTAGTTTTGACTTTTTCCGGTCAACTATTTTTTGATTTTTAACCAATACTTAAAAAAAGTATATATTGTATACTGTATACTTAAAATATTTTTATATCAATATCTAAAATTATTTTTATTTAATTTGAGGTTAAAGCTTACCAATTTTGACCGAAAAAAATCAAACGTGGACAAACTCTCAGGGACGGAAGAAGTAGCATATATGTTGCCCGTGCAACACACGGATTCTAGTCTAGTAATTGGAAAAATGGGATTGTAAGCAAACAATTGTGATTTGATGCCAAGTAATTGTTATCTAGAATAAAGATTGTAAACGAATAATCAAACTAGATTGAATAACAAAATACTAAATTTGAAATTGCATTTGTTTCATTTTTTCAAATGGGTTCAACTTGTAATCAACACACTTATATGCACAAGTATATAGTACAACTATGCCCCCATTAAGGGAACTAAACTGAATTATTTCCATAACAATGTGTCTGTCTAATTATAGTTCAAATTGGATTCATTGGTACACTTTCAGAACCACTCCAAAGAATAAATGATACTCCGTACGAAATAGAGACGATGAATGAAATAAGAGGCAGAATATACTATTTTTAAACGAATGTAAGCCTAAATCTTGATCTTGAACATTGAAGAGGCCAAGAACAGCTAACAACCAGCTCTGAAAGGTGTCCAAAACCAATCTCTAGATTCCCAAACTGTATGCTGTACTAATCTTTTAGGTATCATTCATGATTTCTAGTTCAAAAATGCAACCTATTGAAACCCATATCGACTTACTATAATATAATGAGAGTATCAAACATAATGATGTGTTGTTCCAAGTTCCTAACCAGCTGAAGGTTTAACCATATACTCTGTATAAGAAAACTTAAACTCACCCTCAAAAGCAGACCATAATAAGAGAACTACTGAATCAAAAGAAACATCCCAAATGTCACTGACAGAGCCGCTGCATCACAATCCAGACAGATATGGAACCACCTCCGAATCATCTACAATTCTCCATAGGAGTTTTTGTAATTGAATTATGGTCAATTTTTTTTTTTATCTAGGAATTTGCTGATTACTATATGAGAATAAGAATCCTTTGTGAAGAATTAGAATAAAGGGTTGTTCTGCTTTGTTGGTTTCCTATGCTCATGTCTGCACTTGTTCCTCTATTTGGAAGCTTTCTCACTATCCTTATGGAGATTATTTTGCTGTTCAAATGTGATAAATGAAGATGCTATACTAGTTCATACTCATTTTATTTGTTATAAAAAACTAAGGTAGATATATGTAAACCTTAAAAATCAAAGTTGTACGAGCATCATTTTTTTCAAAATGAAAGTCATTTTTGCATCAATACATCACCTTCATTAAGCATGCCTTTGAATTATTTATTCCATATACTGACACACATGACTTTTGTAGTATAATCGATATGCCATATGACACATCCCTGTGTGTGTGTGCGCGCGTGCGTGACTGTTTTCACTGCAGCATCTACGGTACCTGCACTTGGAGTATTTCTTCTAAAATATCTTAAGAGTAGAAATAATGTTGAGAATGATGTTGTTAACCGGGATTTTGAGAGGGAGACTTATATAATTACTATCAGTGAGCATAAGTGCATAGATGTGATTACAATGTGTCCATTCTCTTTTTTGAAACTTTGTGACCTTTCCAGTAATAATCTACTGTAAAGCACTAGAGCAATGAGTGTTAGAGAGCAAGTATTAGTCTTTTTGCATATAATTTGTCACAATGTAAAGTTATGAGTAATTGGCTTAAGATATTTCATATCAATAGAGACGGTTCACCGTTACTTTTTTTTTTAACACAAGTAACTCTATTACAAAATAGTATCTGTCTATGAACTTATTGCTCCCACAGGGAATTGAACACAAGACCTCTCGTTTGGGAGAGTCATAGCGGTGTCATTGGACAACAAGGTCTTTGAAGATTCACCGTTACTTTAGGTCTACATTAAGAGCTATTTCAAGATTATAAAATGGTCCCATTATGTTACCGGATGGTGAATCAATCCCACATGAAACCATTAGCCGCCCTAGGTTCTATTCATACGTTAAGGATTGTGTTGGCGTGATTGATGGAACCCATGTTCGTGCTTCTGTACTACTTGGAAAGCAAGGAAGCTTTCGTGGGCATAAAGGGGGGAACTACACAAAATGTCTTTGCTGCCATCATTTCTGATTTGAGATTTTGTTGTGTGCTTGTTAGGTGGAAAGGAAGTGCATGTAGACATAGGCACATAGCATGTTGGGATTTCCATAATCATATCATGGGAAGAAAGTAGATGTAGTCATAGCATGTAGCATAATTCATAACCATATCATGGGTGTAGATCCTAGTGATACGATCAACCAAGAATCATTTGATGTTGATGATGATGACAGCGATGCTTCATAGGTGAGATCAACCCTTACAGAACGTGAAGAAAGACAAGAAACTCGACATTGGGTGATGAAGAGAGATGAAATTGCACAATCAATGTGGAATGATTACACCACTAGAATTAGTAACTAGATGTATTTGTGATGAAATGTTCAAATATTTTGATATAGTTATAGTTGAAGGTGACATAGTATTTCTTGTTTTGGATATTCATTTCCCATATATTCATTTCCCATAAATGAACCTAACAAATATAGACAGTTTTCAGACTTCCATCCAAACATCAGAAAAAGAAAATGACCTCAATACAATAACTTATTTTCCAGAAGTCATTTTCTAGAAGGTATTTTCTTGATTTCCAAATGGGCCCTAAAGTCTCTCTCTTCTCCAGCTTAGCCTTCTAAATCTAAGTTAAGAATCTTGGTAAGGCCTAATAGGATTCTTGACGAGCAAGATCCCTACGCCACACAAGTTGAAGTTTGGAAAAATAATTGCCTAATGACACAAAGCATTGGCACAGCCAATCCAGAGATTTATCACAATGAGAATTTATTTTTATTTTTTTAAATTTACCCATTACAGGAAAGAAGAATCTTTATCGGAATGGCATCAGAATAGATAGACTATTGGTTGGGGCCAAAACACAACACTCCATAAGAAATGATCACTCAAAGAATGAACACTGTGATGCTCATTCAGTCATTCAAGACTAGTATTTGAAGGAACCATGGCTAAATCAGTTTATAGCCCTGAGCAAGAAAACTAGCTCAACATCAGGAAAAGGAATCAAACACAACTGGAAATTCAACCTCAGGACTGGCAATCACAACTGGGATTTCCAGAAATTGTCACAATCAAAGCAGAACATTTTCAGGCAAATTATACGGTTCACATATTATTCAATTCGAGACCTCAAAAACAACAAATCTTCAAGAGGACGAACCTGGCAGAGATTACGGAGTGTCCCATGGCTTTGGCTCGGGGACTGCTACGACCATGCCCTGATGCTCCTGAGTGAGAACGACCTGGCATCCGAGCCTGGAGTGCTTGTTCAAAACCCTAGACCTAGAGTTCCTCTTGAGCACGTACTGTTCATCGTACGTGGCTGGTGGGAGCTTCTCGAGCCATTCCTCCGCGATGTGGACCTCGCACTCCGCAGAGCAGGCGTCGATATCTTCGAGCCGGTGGGAAGCCGGGTCAATCAGGCCATGGTTGGTCAGCGCCTTGAGAAGAGTCTGGCCGGAGAGTCCGATCACGCTCCGCTTCCGGCCTTCCGGATCAATTGCAAACAGATTCACGATCCGGTCGGAGACCCTGGCGGAGGAAGTCCGCGCTGTGGAGGTGGCGGAGGATCGGGCTCCAAAGGGGTGGGTGAGGCAGGGATTCCGCGAGATTTGTGATCCGAGTCTTCGTAAACAAACGGAAGCCATTTTCGGGAGCTTCCACGGGCGAGAAGGAGGAAATCAACGAAGGCTAAGGGTACGTTTGGTTGGAGGTAGTAAAGTTTTATTAGGTAGGTAATGATAGGTAATTGAATGTAAGTAAAGTAAGGTAATGAGTTAAAAAATTGTGTTTGTATGTTTAATAGGTAACGTGAGGTAGAGAAAGAATAAAATTACTAAAATATCCTTGTGCTTGGCTGATCGGATTTTAATGAAGTGTGGCAAGTATCTACTTCGACTGCCACGATTGCCGTTACGACTACAAATCCACGGGCCAGAATCTCATCAACAAGGAAATTCTCATATTACAAAAAAACAGCTTAAAAATTTGAGAAACAAAATAGTATATTTCAATAAATATTGAAATAACAAAAAAAGCAAAAAAAAAAACATAAAAAAACATAAAAACAAAAGAACAAAAAACGAATGGAGAGAAAGAAACCAGAAACCAGAAAAAGATAAAAACTGAAGGGAGAAGAAAGAAACCCTAAAAAAACCAGAAAAAAGAAGATAAAAACTGAAGGGAGAAGAAGAATTTACCGATGGAAGAGGAGATGGCGACTGAATGGATCTGAGATTGGATACGGCTAGCGAAGGGCAGCAGCAGAACTGAACCTCATGACCGAGGTGTTTCGCGAAATCGGCGGTAGCCTAAATTTCACTGTTACACGGTGAAACTACCGCCATTCACCTCCCCTTACCTATCTCTGTTTCTTCCCCAAATAAGGTAAATTTTAATTGCTACCTTATCGTCTTATCCTACCTTGACCTCCCTCCATCCAAACACAGCGTAAAGTCGAGTTCGAACTTCGAACATACTTTGGTCTTTGGGCCGTCTTTTTCTGGCTGTTTTTAAAAAATCTTTCGACTGTGCAATCTATATTTTTGGGGGAAGCCCGTCCATTTCACAAGGCCCAAAAGATGTCCTATCCGACATTCCGAAATGTGCCTTCTAAGTTTTTTCCCTATTGAGTTTTATGTTTTTTGTTTGGCAAAAAAATTATGTTTTTTAATAAATGTGGAATATAAATAAAAAAGAAACATAGATGAAATTACATTTCTATACAAGATTGAAATAAAATAAATCTTGAAATTTGGAAGTAGTAGAATATATCTTGAAAACAATTTTGAGAGGAAAACAAAAAATAAAATAAAATATGGTTGTGATGGACCAGCGGTAACGATAGTGGTGGTGAGAACGACAACGAATGCAATGGTGGCGGTGTAGCAACAAGGCCGTCTCATACATTTTATACGCCCTAAACAAAAAGAATTGCCACCACATGGGTGCTGCCATGGGTGCACCCATGCTTCCAATTCGCACAGACAATAATCGTTTGTGTCGCACTGACGATTAACGTCTGTTTTTGTTTGTGCGAAGTATTGATGCACCTTTGATAGCATCCATGTGGTGGCAACCTAGCATAACCCAAACAAAAAATGAAATATGGACCCTTAATATCAATGTTGGAGCCAAGATATAAAGGGATTCCCACCACATCTTTTTTAAATTATAATGTAGTATTTGTTTATATATTTTCGACTTTTTAAAGTACATGAAGGGATTTCCATCACACCTGTTTATAATAGTATTAATTTTACTACATGTACTATTTATTCATTCGTTCTTGATTTCATTATATGTTGGAGCAAATTAAAATCATAATTTTAATTCATCACCAAACAACGTAATTTGATATAATAACACTTTAATATACTTCTTCTAAACTAGTGTTTACCCCGTGCTTCGCACGGGCTCTTATATATTCTAATTTTTTGAGATTTTATAAATATAATTTTAGTTGTTTTAGTTTCTAATAGTGACAAAAAATATTTTAGACTGATGGAACATACAGAGTATATTGGTATGTTAATTTAAAAAACAATTTTACAAAATTAATAATCATTGAATTAAGTACTAAATAGAAATGGTTTTAATTAATAAAATATTATAATAAAAAGTGGATCAGTTACATGCATAATGATACATCATTAGAGAATATATATGTGTCATAATGTCATTTGTCAGTTGTCACCCTTTAAATTTATACAATCATTTTTCGAGAAGTAATAAACTAAAATAAGCTGTGGATAGTATAAAAATAATTTTATGTGTGTGTACTCAAAATACGAAGTTTATTTTACAATGGTGAAATATATATTCAGAATTATTAAAGAATGAAAAATTTTATACAAATGTATTAAAAGATATTTANAAATAGGTGCACATGTGGATGCACATGTGGCATGCCACATGTCAACATTGCAACAACTAAACTCTCTTTTACATATATATAGGATTCTTCAAATGCTAATCACTCAAATCAAGAAAAAAAATAAAATTATCAATTTATCCTCTAGTGATGGGGAATAACCCCACACCAGCCTAGGGCTGACATCAGCATAAATTTCCAAAGGATCGGGCTTGGACGTTTCTGCCCAGCCCTGCGCTCCGCTCGTCCTTCCTGCCCGGCTCTGCGCTCCACTCGTCCTTCCTGCCCGGCTCTGCGCTCCGCTCGTCCTTCCTGCTCGGCCGACCAAGCCGAGCCCGAGCCCCACGACAATGACATGCGGAAAGCGACGTTCAACGGAGGCTTGAGGAAAGCGATAGGATGAAAGGGACAAGACGTGCGGAAAACGACGTTCAACGAAGACTTGGTGAAAGCGATGAGATGAAAAGGACAAGACCTAAGGACAGGTGCCGTCCGCTAAACGACGGGCCTCGATCAGAGGGCTTTGACTTAGTATATTGTACCCCCTATAAAAGGGGTGGCACCCCTCATTGTAATGGATCCGATTTTTGAAATCAATATATTCCTACTTTGCATTTTCTCTCTCTAAAACTTCTATTATTTCATACTCTCGGTGGTTTATAGCCATCATCTAGCTATTCCAAAACAAAAAAAGGATTAGAGCTTAAAGAGATATTTATACTGTACAGCAATACTCCATATGATAGTGCAATTGGTAACTGTCAAAGGACCACCAGTCAACTACCAGCGACCGGAAGTGGCATTCCAACAAATAGTTAGGAGTGTTCAAGATTATCCCATCTGAAAAATCCATCCACAATCCAATCTGATCTGATCCAGAAAACGAGCATCCAATCCGATATTTTTCTTTTTTGGATATTCGGATCGGATATTTGAAAAAATCGGATCTGGTATGGATTTTAATTTTAGATTTTTTGGATATATGAATATCCGACTATTTGAAGTATTTAAAAGAAAGTATTACTTTTACCCACTAACCATAATTTTCGTCCAATCCCCTGCTTCAGACTTCATTCTTTTACGTTTCAGACTTCATTCAGAAAGAGAGACGCAGAAGGCAATCTTTTACAAAAATCATTCTGACTTCATTCTTTTATGGCAACCATTCATGCTTCATTCAATCAAATTGCAGAGACGCAGATGAAAATTTTCTTGGTCTCTCTGCTCGGCGACTTCGAGAAGGACACGACCACATCTCCTTTCACCAAATCTATGTTGATTGTGGTGCAAATTTTGGCTAAAAACTTAAACTTTTTCGTATATTTCATGGTCCGATCCGAAAATTTGAATATCCGAATTTTGGATATCTGAATATTTTTGAATCAAATATGGAATGAGTTGTACTTGATCCGAAACTTTCAGATATCCGATATTGCGGAGCGGATCGATCTGATTGAACACCCCTACAAATAGTACTATGGCAATTCTAGTATGATAGTAGAGTTTCGATAGTATAGTGTCAGAATGGTAGTGTAACTCTATTTTAGCATTAAAAGACTTACAAATTCTATTTTTAATATTTTTATACTCCTTCCGTCCCCAATTTGTAATCAAATTGGGGTTTACGAGAAAAAATACTCCAGAGTATTTCAGTTTTTGAAATCAATCGGTATATCAATAAGAAATAAGTATTATATATTAAAAAACTACGTCAAAATTTCTACAAAAAAAGAGGTAACAAGAATATTTTATTTTATCAAATATTTGAAAAAATTGCGTAAATAAACAAAATTATCGAGAGATGAAAGTAATCAAAATGGAGACGAAGGGAGTACTTTTTTTTATTTAGGGTTTCTATAATGTAGCAATAAGTGAGAAGTAGAGAATTAGCCCTTAAAAATCACATTGGGAAGGGATTTGAAATTGCAAACATGCATAAGCCGCCAATATGCACCAAAGGATTCCCTACCCAAACTAACAAAAATTAAAGCACACACTATCCACCATGCATCATATCATACCCACAAATAATTAAGAAACAGTTGTTTTGTTGTGCAACTATAGGACTTGTACAACAGCTTTTGACCAAAGAATGTGGATGTACATTTATTAATACTACTATTTGACCAGACTATTGAGGCACTACATACTAACATGGCTACAAGTTAATGCACATTTCTAAGTGCAAAATCTTTTGTTTCCGTTATTGGGGTCTTTTTTGTTTTCCCTCTCTGGTTGATCACAGTGTTTTATAACAAAACAGATCTGCACATCCCAACCAATTTATTTTCTTGACCCCATAGCCTTTAATTCATGCCATTGACTACCACTTGCTCCGGCCTTATTCACTTCCTCGGTCTCGTTAGGTTTTTCAAATGTCATTGGCATGGATATTTTAAAAATGTGGGGAATGTGTGAGTATTTAAGACAACAAATTATTGATTCTTTTAACATTGTTTATCAAAAAATCATGAACCCTCATCCCAAGTTAGATGAGAGGGAACTCCTGCGGTATGCGTATGTATGATAAATGCATAGTTGAGTTTGTGTTACAAATGAGTTATATATATACTCCGCGGTATGATGTAAAATACAAAAAAAAGCTAAGGTATGCATACATAATAGGGATTACAAAATTAAGAGTTTGTTTTTTAAGTTTTGGAGGTATGATATTATAAGTTTTTAAATTTGAAATAAAATTGTTTTGATAGATTTTAAAATTATGACTTAATTACTAACAGACAGGTGACCAAGAATCTGGGTGGTTGACGGTGATAATGGTAGCCGGTGGGTTGGTTGGTTGGTTGGCAGATGAGGAGATATTAAACCCTCATACTCCCTCCGTCCCTGAGTGTTTGTCCACTTTCATTTTTGCACGTCATCCAATGCACTTCTTTAATCCATTTTATCTTGTAATTTCTATATTAAAAAATTATAAAAATTATATATTAATAATCTATATGTTAAGACGAATCAAACAAGATCACACATGACTATTTTTAGGCTTACACATTGAGAGAATTTGATAAGTCAAAGTGCTTAGATGAACAGTTCCAAAAGTCAAAAGTGGACAAACACTCAGGGACGGACCAAGTATTAAATTTTGCATATTCGAGAACCATCAAAACTTTCAACTATGTGATGCCTCGAAATCTCAAATTTGAATTCTTTTAACGTTTCACCATATACCAAAAATAATTTTAATATGAGGACATATCATAATCCATATCTACGACGCTTACCAAATACTCCGGGGTAAGGTCATAAATGGTGTAGAGTTGCACCCTAGTTTATGCTATTTAAGGGGGAAATACTTGGGGGATCCTAAGAAATCCACACCCAAGTACACACCACGCAATCGCAGATGCACAATATTTGTATCTGTGTGTATCTGTGTCTGTCTTAATTTAAACTTACTCTGCATTATTTCTTGGAATCCTCCTGGCACCACTCTAGAAGGATTGGTCTTGTGATTACCTATTTATGGCACATGGTTGATCAAGCTTTTGGTTTGGTCCATGGACACCACCGCCACACGGAACACGAAGAGGAGACTTTGGATGGCTGAAAGGGAGTGGGGTTTTAAAAAAAGGCCCATTTTGATGCAATGCTCGGAATTCGGAACTTTTGCCTACCACTCTGCTCCATGGCCAGTTTAAACATACTGTAACTTCACTCCATCTATAGGCCATTTTAATTTTTTAAAAAATTAGGTGATGGTAAAGGCATTAGAAATATGTTTGAAGTCCAGGATTTCAAACCTGAGGTTTCAAACTTTTATTTTTCAAATTTTTTTAATACACATTTTACAGAAGTAAATTAATAAAAATTCATGAATTAATTAAATTTAAAGGAAAATATTTCATTGAATAAAAAAAGGAGAATTTACCTAAATAGTACTAAAATATAGTGACTTTTATAATGTAATATGACTAATATCCTATGTTTTTATTTTTCAATGTAGAACCACTGTTCAATTTCCATTGGTCATTGTTCAAGTAAATGTTCACTGTCACTGGACATTGTTCAAGCTAAATGTCCGCCATCATTGGACATTATTCCCGCCACTAGACATTATTCAAGTACTATTTAAAAAATAAAAAAATTTAAGTGCTACATTGGGAAAAGACATATATTTTAGTGCTATTTAGTGCAAATTTCACTAAAAAAAATTACATTACTAAAAAAAAGGTTTTAACAATAACAACATAAATAAAAAATTAAAGATTACATTGGTAAGAATTACTTAGCATAGTTGTCTGCTAATGCAGTGGTCAGAAATTGAATTCAAGTCTACCCCTGACACTACATGTCTTTGACAACTGCATAATCAATTTAACTAATATGTGTGGTTGGTCTCTTTCTACTATTTTGGAGAATTTTATTTTTATACACTTGAGTTATATGCTCAACCCCTAAAGTAGAGCCCATTAGACTATTTGTTGTGGTAGTATATCGTGATGGCCACCTGGCGTCACCTGTGATGACCGTGGAACACCACCCCTTGGTGTGATCGTGATGCGCGTGATGACCATCACATCCACCACGTCCAATTTCTTCTTTCTTCTTCCTTCTTTTTTCTATCATGCGTTGCTTTTTTCTTCATTTATTTTGTGGTTTGCTTTCTTTCTTTCTTTCTCTTTATTTTTTTTATTTTCAATTTTTTTACTTTTTATGTTTTGAAATTTTGTTTTTTTGGTTAATTAAATGAAATATTAAAATAAAACATTAATATTTGTATAGGTACTTTTTAATTTAATAACAATAAAGTATATATATATATATATATATATATATATATATATAATGTATGTATGTGTGTGTGTCTATATATATTCGTCCAGTTTTGAGTTTTGGAACTGTTCATCTAAGCATTTTGACTCATCAAATTTTCTCAATGTGTAAGCCTAAATATAATCATGTGTGATCTTCTTTGATTTGTCTTAACATATATATTATTAATATATAATTTCTATAATTTTTTAATATACAAATTACAAGATAAAGTGAATTAAAGAAGTGTATTGGATGGTGTGTAAAAATGAAAGTGGAAAATTACTCTGTGACGGAGGTGGTATATAAGTTTAAGTGCTTTCAATTAAAATAAATGTAAAGAAGAACATACTCCGTAAAAGAAAGAAAAAAGGATTGGGATATTTTTTAATCCAGTACTTGTATTTTTTCCATTATCTAGATCTCTTTTTTCTTCTTCTTTTTTTTTTTTGCATTATGTTAATGTAATCTTTAACTTTAATGTTAATGAAATATGCATATAATATTTCTATTTAAATAATATTGATTTTAATACATGAAAAAAATTGGCGTGATCCACACCCATGTGGTGGGATGGGAAAGAGAAAAAGCTGACGACGTGGCACTGAGTGAGATATCGTGATGGCGTGATCCACACATCTGAATGGTGATAGGGGCAATTGCCCCTCTTCTCATTACCACCATCACGGGGTTGCTCGTCTTCCATCTCCCATTATATTTTTTTTTGCTTATTATATTTCAACCAATTAAAATTAACGCATATTCACCCTTCATAATACTCTTTCACACTCACCATAACACACATTTTTAATAATTCCATATCATACTTATTTGCACACCATCAAGCCTCGTCAAGCCCGCACCATAATATATAGCCTTAGAGTCATAGTGAAATTTATTCTCTCTCCTATAAAAACAAGTTTTAACTTTTTATGAAGAATGTGAAAAAATTAATGTCCAACATAAATGCCTTATGATTCCCTATCTCAAAACTTAATTCACAATCACTCTCTGGAGGTTAAAAGTTTTGTTTAGAGTCTGTTCTTTAGGACTTAAACTCTTAACTTCTAGTTTTTTCCAATTCCTTCCAGTTCTTCCAATTTTTTTAGTTCTTTTAGGTTTTTCCAGTTTCTTCGAATTTCTTCCCGTATCTTCCAAATCTTCCAGCAATGAGTGGGTGTGATTGGAGAAACTCTTAGTCATTACTCTTTATAAATAATAATAATGGATAATCAAGGAAAATTCTACGAAAGCAAGAGTTGGAAGGGTTGTGTGTGCATATAAACCTTACCTATATTAGAAAGTATAAAACTTTCCAAGAGGGACACAGGAAGTACATAACACGAAAAAGGAATAAAAAGTAAATTAAGGGCAACAAAAACTCAAGAAGACATAAGACACACAGAAAGTACATAACACGACAAAAGAATGAGAAGTATACTACAACATGAGTAAAATGCACGCTATTGACCAACTATTCTAGTATTAGATCTTCAAATATATGAGATAATGTATTAATTGTAGGGTGTGAGGTGTAAAATTATGTGTTTTAAAGTTTGACGGTCTTTGTGTTTAGTTTCATTTATTTGATTGTAAATGTAAAATTTAAAAATTAAATTTATCGAATAAAAAATTATATAAAATTATATGAAAAGACTATTCAAACAAAGTGAGTTAAGTTTGAACTTGTACCAACTATGGTACAATTGCTCCTATACGGCCTCGTTTGATATCAGTATTAGATATTAGCATTAACGTTTTGAAAAGACTATGCGGTAGTAGCATTTAGTATTAGTGTTTTAAGAACTAATCTATACTATTAAAATTCTATTCAATAACGAAGTGAAATCTCATCTAACCCCAACAATAATAACACTCGTCCAAATGAATTGCGGAGGAGTACCATTTTTAGTTCATCGGTATCCGTAATTTGATAGTTTGACTTATTTTATTAGCCAAAGAGGCCACACCATTAATGTACCTAACACGCCATTGCCTTCATTAACTCACTCCCCCCGTTCAAATGTTCCTCCCGCAGCGCCACCTTCCTCCCTTTTTATAACCCCCGGCCCCTTCCTCTTCCTCACATTTAAGAACCAAAACCACCCCCACAACAGATATACTCCCTGCCATTTCCCACTCTGTACCCAAACATTCTCCCAAACCGCCATGGATGTAACTTCTCAAGCTCTTCTCTCGACCCACACTTTTTTTTTTTCAATTCTTTCTTTCTTTCTTCTTCTGATTATATGACCCTTTTGTTCTTTGTCTGTTTGTTTGTAAATGGTGTGTACACAGGATGAGTATGGCTACTGGACGAGGAAGGGCCACATTCCGGCGTTCGGGAGCTGGGACCTCGACGCCGACTTCCCCGTTCCTTTCACTCAGTGCTTCGAGTCCGCCACGCCCCCCGCTTTGCTCCGCTACGGCGCCTACTCCGGAGGCCGAGATCTCTACGTCGCCAAGGATCTCTACGGCGGCGGCCGCATCCTCAGTCCGGCGATGATCGTGGTTCCCCGCCGCAAGGTTATTCCTCAATCTCGATCGAAGTGGTAATACTTTTTGGACTCTTTCTTAGCCCTAATTTCTGACATTTGTGAATGGATTTGAGCAGGGGAAAGGCGAGGGAGGGAGCGAGGAATGGATGGTCTGCGGATGCGATTGCGAGTCCGGACTGAAACACCGCTCGAACGCCGCCGCGCCGCCGTCGCTGAGGCGGGCGCCGAAGGCCGTCGATGAAGACCTCTACAAGATTTCCCCGGACATGCTCCGCGCTAAACCCAAGAAAGTACTGCTCCATTATCCATCGCCATTCAATCCCTTCTTTTTTTTTTCACTACATTTTTCTTGGGTTTTCCCCCCAGTTGCAAAAATTTAATCTTCTGGGGAGAAAAATCAAAAAGTTTGATTTTTGATTGATGAGTTGATCACAAAATTGCAGGGGAAGATGAGGGGATTTCTGTCAGGCTGCCTGCAACTTTCTTGTGTATGTTGAGAGGGGACTTGAAGATGGACAACACAACACAGATTGATTATGAGTTGATGGTGAAGATTGATGGTGCAAAATGAAATCCAAAAAAGAGGAGAAAATCATGATGATGGGATAATTGCAATGATGAAGATGGGTTTTTTTGTTGCAAAAAACTATTGGTGAAACTTTTGTAGATGTAGAGTAAAGACTAGTAGTAGTTTTTGATGGGAACAGTGGGTTTTGGATGTATGTGGACCTAAAAAAGTGTGGTTTCTTTTAGATGAATAGTGGATGAAAAAGAAGACTGTTTCTGAATTACCTAATGGTCTGTTATAGTAGTGGTAATTATGGACCTATATTGCGTTTTGCCCTACATTTACTGTACTGCTTCTACTTTATTAGCAATCTTTCTTCAGTCCCCTTTTTGTTTGTGATGGGGACAAAGCACACAACTGCATCAATCTTGTTGCACCAGTTGGGAGTTGACTAGAAAATCTCGGAGAACTACAAAAAAAGGAGAGTAAAATTTTTGGGCTTTTGGAGTTGCTCTATGGGGCCACCATAGGCAACTTTGGTTTACACCATTGGTGCATTTCAAGAATTAGATATTGATGAATAATTTTTTTTGCATTTTGGATAAAATTGTAATAGGACATATTAATTCTCAAAATACTAACACTAAAAGCCATCATCAAATAGCTTTTCTAAAATTGCTAATACTAACACTAACAAAACTAGTAGTAACAATAATATTTTATTTTATTAAATTGCTAACGAAAATAGAGAAAGAAATGAATGAAGTTTGACCATGTGAATAGTAAACAGGTATTATAATTTGGGACGGAGGAAGTAGATATTTGATATAATAACTAAAATGAGTAAATGAAAGAACAACTAATATATAAAATGTGTTTTGTTTGAAGTATTATTTCTTGGAATCCTTTATACTCCGTATATAAAAAGGAGAGTTGAGTCTCTAAAAATTTGACATGTGGCATGCTTATGTGCCCTTTTTTTAACACTTCACACGCCACCTAATTTTTCTTATGAAATTAAAAGTTGGATAAGAAATATTTGAGTAAACTTAAAAATGAAAAAGTCTTTTTATATGATAATATGTTGTCCTAATTCTATACCTTTTTCTCTTTATTTATTACAAAACATTTTAATAAGAAAAAATATACTCTCTTCACCCATAAATAAATTTTATATTTCTTTATGATACATCTAAATAAATGAAGTTAGTTTGATAATATATATTTAAATATTGACACCTAATAAATAAAATATTTCGTCACCTATAAAAAAATTTGCATTTGTTTTGATACCTAATATTCCACCTAATTTAGGACGTATAAAATGTGAAATTATTGTTATGGTATGAAATATTTGAATAATTTAATTACGAAATAGGAAAATTAATTTTTTAATAATAGTATTCTTTCATAATCTAATATTTTTTACTCTTTTCATTTATAGTTACACTTTTAATTAATTTTAAAACTACATTAAAGTATATTTTCTTAAAAATTACATTAAAAAATTTAAAAACAAGAGATGATTGAACTATAATTGTGTTAAATTAGAAAAATATATTATACATAACTCCATAGTTAGAATACATTTTTCTGATTTGATTCATCACTAGAGAAATTGTGTTGATAGTCCTTAGATGATTTATTTCATAGATTAAAAAATATATTATGTTTAATTATCTTCTATTATATAATAAAATTGATCAAAAAACTGTGTCACCATGAAATGCTATGTTCAAGCTAACTTTCTTTACAATTTCAACATTATTGACTGAATTTAATCTTTATATATATAATTTGGGAGTTGAGCTTCTAGAATGACGACATTTGGCATGCTGACTGAATATTTTTTAAACACCTCAAGAGCCATGTCATCATTTACTTCTATGTAATTTTTTATGCATTGCCTTTAAGGCTATTTTATTTTTGAGGGATGACCTTTACTTCTTCGCGCAAGATCAGATTTTCTCTGTTTCTTCTTCTGCAAAATTGATTAGAAGAATTTATGGTATTGATTGTTATAAATGTGTTGCGTTCAAAAAATGTTCTTAAATACTACGGAGTAATTGTTATATTATTGGTTAAAAGTTAAGAATTACATTTTTATATGATACACGCTTTATTTATTAAAAATACATAGAATTTGAGAATTACTCTGTATATAAGTTATTTATTGTCAAAAGATAGAAAACTGTTTAATATCTACGTGCTTAAAGATAATATTACGAATATGTAAAGGAAAATGAGTTATACATGGCCCATAATGCCTTTTTTAAAATAAGACATGCCTTATTTATATAAAAATGCAAAAAAAATTATCATCTTAGAACTTAACATTAATTTGTACATACTTTTGTACTCTTGAAAAAAATCACTAGCAATTCGAGTTTGCAAATAAATAAACAAAAATTTAATTGATATTAAAAACAAAAAGAAATATGTAGGTGAAAATTATTTGAAAGTGATGAATAAATGATTTTAAAATACTATTTTCCTAAAAACAAAATAATGTAACCCCAATTTTTAAATATTTCATAAAAAATAAAATATATACAGCATATATTAAAAGATAAAAAATTATAAGTTGATAAATAATGCATTTTTATTATATAACAAATGTCTTATAAATATTAGAATGAAAAAATAAAACTCACTAACAATTTGACTACACTAAAAAATACAAACATGCCGATTAAATTGATGTAAGAAATTGATGTCGATCGATTAAATTGATGGCCTTTAAGCTAATAATGAATAAAAAGTTTAAAATTTTTTAATAAATGTCGAAGGTTAAAAGGCAAAAAAAAATTATATATGATTCCCATTGAAATGTTTATTGCATAGCACATGGCTTATTTATATTAAAAGGAAAATAAATGATAAAAAGCATTCATGCACACCTCAAATTTTAACATCTTTGAGGTTAACATTATTTTTTAAATACTTCAACACTATTGAAAAAATCCACTAGCAACTTGACTTCACCAAAAAATAAACGATTGTGAAACGATGTAAAAAAATAGGTGATATTTATTAGAAATAGAAAAATATAATAAATTATATCCAACCTTTGGCAAAAAATAAGGTTACATATTAAATTTTAATTAAGAGAGGAGAACTATATAGAACTATATAGAACTAAATGTTATAGAATCGCATACATTAAATGTTATATTTTTTTCTATGTATTTTTTTAATAAATCATATATTATTTATGAATACAACATGTAATTTTTAACCAAAAATATATTAATTAGTACGTAAGCCAATTTCTTGATTCGGCCTCTGGGATGCATTAATAACAACTAATATTATATCATAAATATATCAATTAGGAACACTAATTAAAACTAACTTATTGCACATAAATATTATCGTACAAACTTTTACCGTTTTAGATACTTATTATTGAAAGATAATAATTTTTGTGACACAAATGTTACAATTTTTTCAAAGCTATTAATGGAAAGTAATAATTTTAAAATAGAAAATACTAATTTTAAAATTAAGCACAAGTTTTATTAGAATTAGAATGTTTTTTTACTATATACGAAAAATAATTAATTAATGTTCTATTAAATAAATATGGCATTAAAAGTTCCTTTCTTTTTATATATTGTTTTTATATTTACGAAATTGGTAACTAAGGCTCTAAATATTAGTTTATCTAAAGATTAATAATAATAATCTTATAATTAGTATTACTATTATTATTCGTATTATTATAATTATTTTAATTGACATTATTATTATTATAATTATTATCAACATTGTTTAGGGACCAATTTTAATCGTCATTTTTTTATTTTTTGTGTAGTCAAATTTTTAGTGGGTTTTATTTTTACATTTTAATACACATAAAAAAAGAATTTTCGACCAAAGTTTTTATTTTCAAAAAGCTATCATGTATAAAAATTAATGAATAAATTTATAACTCATGCGTAGACAAAATTTGAATAAAAGTTGTATTTCTCCATAAAGTATACATTAATACACTATTTTGTTTATGATAGAAATTACATATTCAGATGGAGAGACATCGTCATCGACTATAACCTCACATAATTTAACCCATTTGACAAAGAATGTACTCTGTGATGTGACAAATTGTAATTTTTTATTTCGAATTTAAAATTTAACATTCCCATTACATTTTTCCCAAAAAAATATCTATACAGTGCATCAGTCTGGGAATAATTCTACACTCACTTCATCACGCTTTCAAGTGCATAAGAGATAGAAGGGAACAGGTATATCTTCAATAACATGTGTGATTACTTTCTATGAACTTTGTGTATTAACTAATTATGCGTATATGATATTATAAACAATGTACTCAAATACTACCTGATTCTTTTGTGTATGGTTTTGGTGGAATTGAAAAAACATTTCCTTGGAAATCACGGTCTACTTCTCTGAGGTCAAATGGTAAGGTTGTCTTAAATGTCACATCAAGATTAATTGTTGACAAGCTGCGAAAGAACGTTATAAGTGTTATTGTGGTTTTGAGAAATTGAGTGGGGGAAAAATTTACATATCCAGGATGAATTTGGTATCATCTGATACATGCTACCTTGAAGTTCGAGAGAAGCCAATTTCCAATAGCCTTATGTTTTGCTATAACTATCAATAAAAGTTATGGTCAAATATTGTTATTGGATTATTTTTCACCAAACCGGTGTTCACTCATGGTCAGCTTTATGTTGCTGTTTCGCGAGTAAAAACGAAGACATGATTAAATATATTAGTCCTAGATGACAATGGAAACCCTTGCAACCATACTAAAAATGTTACATACACTGAAGTCTTTCAGAAAATTTAGAATTAAATTTTTTTGTTGTGTACACATTCAATTCCTCAAATATTATTTATTCCACTTAATTTTTTTGTCTCCTTAAAAATCATGCGAGAAGTATATTTTCTTTATTACAGAAAAATATTGCATTAAGAAAATTTTTAGAATTGACAAAAAATTATGTTTGACCCCGTGCGTCGCACGGGTCAAAATACTAGTAACATAATCAATGCGTGATACGTTGTAAACAATACAGAGTAATAAAGATGCATTCATTTTATTAAATATACTTAAAATTTACTTTTTTCTCGATAAAAGTATGTATGTGTGTTTATAATAATTTGAGATAGTATTGTTGTTATTATTATTATTATTGTTGTTGTTGTTGTTGTTGTTATTTTAGTATAATTATAATAATATAAATATTTTAATTAATTCGGGTTGGACT